ACCAGGCCGATTTGACTATTGATGCTTTCCTTTGTAATAGGTGGTAATGGTTCGAGTTGTGCGAATATTTCGGCTTGGGGCGCTGCAGCTGTGGGTCCTTGGTATGCGCTGCGAACTCTCGTATGAAGGAGATGGAGTGGAACGCCAAGACTCGTCATTGAGAATTCACTATCCAAACCAAGGGCCTTGAAACCAAAGTAATCTTCGCCCAGTTCTGCTGCAAAATCACCACCGACAAATTGTTCACTGCCTTCATTGAATGCACCAGATCCATCTTGGCTATTGTCTTGCAGGGCGGGTCTGAGTAGATCTGTAAGATGAGCCTTCATGCGTTCATGCATAACCGAAAGTTTGGTTCCGAGACGCTCAACATCATCTTTAACGTAGCTTTCCAAGGCTTCTATATCCATACCGTTTTCACCCAAACTATGCAAGACGACTTCTTCGTTGGTATAACGTTCTTGCCATTTACTTCCAGTGCCAGGTGCAGCAGGAACTTTATGCGCTTCTCGATAAACACCAAAGGTTTTGACAATTTTGCCAAAAAAATCACCAGCAATATCAGTTATAACATCTAAAGCAGACGGTTGCAATTCTTCAAACCCAGCATGATAGCAAAGCTTGGCGACAGATCGTTGCATTGCAGCTCTACAAACCCAAGAAGACATAATAGGACCATCATCTGAAGTGACATGTGGTTCGATATCTGTTTCTACGAAGGGCTCAGGCTCATACTTGGGAAATTGATTGTTATACATCTGCATGGAAAATTAGTAAAATTCAATATCCTGCCAAAACCATCTCAATCTTACCTGCGCCTGCAACTGCATCTGCTTTATAACACCAATCTTGGAACACAACTTTCTCGTTTCTTGCATTTGTTTCATATTGGCCTCAACTTTGCCCGTCAAGAAACTTTTCGGTGCGGTAAAATGTCCAGCAGGTAACATTCGAAGAAATTCTCCCGACTGTTCAACCAGATTACCATCCGCATCCTCCACCCACTGCAATCTTGGGTTGATATCTGGAATAGCTGATAAGGGATCATAATAATCAGGCAAAAACTGTTCTTCTTCGCCCTCCATGCCTTCGGCAAGAGTCTCTGCGCCCTGTTTCACTTTTTTATCTTCAATGGCACCTTCGATATTTGAGTTATTGGGGTCATCCAGTTTCCGTTGGCGCAGCCACCTTCTCATTCCAGCTTTGCTTCGTAGAAGAGCAGGTTCATCTGGATTCAACTTATCACCTTTGAATAATCGGTTTCGATCTTTAGCAACCATGGCACGATTTTTCTTAGTGACCTGCTTCCAGATTTTATACTCTTCATCTTCGTAGATATTTTCTGCCGCAAATCCTTGCATACCCATGCCATTGATTGAAGGGACATCATTATCCATGCCATCACCCTGACTAGCAACACCATTCATGCCACCAGGTGTTACTGAACCACCCGGAATCGGGGTAGAAAAGCCATTTTGACTACCATCCACTTCCGAACCATCTTGATTAAGGTTCCCAAGAACACCATTGAGTTGAATAGCTGGTTTTTGATCGATGCCCGGGGTGCTTTCTTCACGCCTAGAAGTATTCTTCCGTGCTTTGCCATGCCCCTTTACACCTCGACCGCCTTCGCCCCGACCTCTAGAAGACATGATAGGTTCATCGTCACTTTCATCAGCATCATCCCCTCCGTTTTGTTTGCGACGTTCCTCTGCTTCTACTTCTGCTCGAGGTCGAATAACAAGGTCTGGAATCAAGGGTATAAGTTTTGCTGCCTCTTTCCTCATACTTTCCGCATTTCTGCGCAAAGGATGTTTATCTGCGCCATTATAATTCAAGCAATTCTCCCATATCAAGTCGAGATCGGCAACGAATTCAGTCTTCGATCTATACTGGTGTGTCTTCAACTTTTTAGTCATTGTGCCGAGGTCCATAGGGTGCTTGATAACTATTTCATGTCAGCGGCAAAATTTAGTCATGTATGAGCCATGGGAATTACCATTGTAATAATCAGGAGCCTCGCGCTTATTGACTCTGACAAGAAAAGGAGCCGAGTATTCTGTCATAGCCTTGAGCTCACTCAAAACCTTATCCGCAGCCTCGTACAATTCTTCCTGGTTGACATTGTCCTCACTGGCCCATTTACTTCTATTCTTACGGACCTCATTGATCAAGGCTCTCAACTCTAGATCCGTAGCTTGGACCCTGTCACGCTTGGCGTCGATGCGAGCAAAGAGATTCTTCAACGTCAAACTCGATGCGCCCATCTCGGCACTGGCCAGGGAACTATGTTGTTCGGCTTGTCGATTATTGGCAGGTCCAGCATTGCCATTATTGTCCATTTCCGCGTCTGTTTGCCTTTCGGATTCCTCTAGCCGCTGCTGTTCCAGCATGGCGATCCGATCATTCTCCAATGTATAGAATATGGTATTGAAACTGCGCTTGGCAGCATCCTCGACGGCCTTCTTCTCCTCTTCCAATTTCTTGCGCGCATCTTCAGAGGTTTTAGGTTGGTCGCTCGCCGCATCATCTTTATTTTGTTCCGCGTGCTTCGAGGGGGATAAGTCAGATTGGATGGGAGAACTCCCCGATTTCGAAGGCGACAACAAAGCATTCGCGCTTCTTGCCTTTGAGGGGGAATCTTGTTGTTCATCCTCGTCGTCCTCGTCATCGTCATCATAATTGTCTTCGTCTATGGCGCGCGCCGGTTTCTTTGGTGGTTGTGCTTGCTTAGCTGGTTCAATGGCGGTTGCATCCCCGACCAATTGTGTATTTTGTGCCGAGACATCATGATCTTCATTGACATCTGCAGGAGAATCTCCACCTCCAAACAATCCCGCCAACTTTGCCTCGCTGCGGCGATATAATTCTTTGAATATTGTCCTTTGACTTTCCTCCTCCAGTACGTTGGCCGAGTCAGCCATTGTGGCATCGAATATGCTTGGAGTATGCGATCGCGAAGGAGTATTGTTTTTATTTTGGTAAGTCTTTTGGGAATGAACTACATTCGATGAGGAAGGTGACCATGATGTGCCATTTGTGATGGAAGAGTTGTGTCCGGATACCCCAGAGCGAGACAAAAGTCCCCTCTCTCCGCCGCCCATAACGTCAAATCTCTAGGTCGCGACAAACCGTCTTAAAGTTGTCGCCTTTTCGTGATTCAAATTGGATTCGATATTGTGCGCATCTTTGTATTAGATTTGCGCAAAATATTGATTAATTTATGGCGTTGATGTTGATGGTTTGATGAAGTTCTTGAGATGAGGTCAGATTTGGTGGTTGTAGGACGTTGTCTGTGATTCCCTTACCTAGAAATCTAGCACTCGTAGTGTATTGAAAAGACAATGAGTTGAGCAACATTTGAACCATCATTTCCTCGTGGATTCCATGTTCTCACTGCTGAAATATTTTCAAAATTCGTATATCATTACAATACATCACAATTTACAAACATAAATATATACATTTCATTTATCTATCTATTTTCCCATGTACAGGTCGAATTAAACATTACCTCGTACTGAATCTCCATATTCAACATTGAAGATATTGGTCCGTGCAAAGAATTTTGATAGGTGCACGAAGTAGACTGACTAACCATTGGAAAGAAATTGAACCTCAGGTGTGAGTTCGAGCTGCAGCCAACCCACATGGGAGATGGAGTAGGAATCTGCAAGTTGCCAGGTTTAAACCAGAAGCTCTGAACTCTTTTTGAACACAAGAAGAGAGAGCTTGTCTCAACATAATACACAAGGAAATCAACTATCTCAGAACCTCAAATACCCATACAAGTTGGTTAAAAACTAGCAGTGATGCTTTTTTAAACTCAAGGAAATCCAATTTACTACCTACAAGAAAAAGAAAAGGGCTCGAGGAATTTCAAGAAAATGCGCATAAGGCTACCCTTTGCAGGTAAATCATACTTTAGCTCCCCCTCCTTGTCCATGTCCTCCCCTCCTTCTCCACACCCTACCATCCTATCCATAATCCCTTCCCCATGTCTCCCGAGATCTCCCAAACTAACGCAATCTTGTCACAATAGGAGCATTCCTGTTCCTTCTTCTACTCGCTGGCTATGCAGGCTTAACATCCATCCAAGTCGATGCAGTCATTAACGACAAAGTCCTGCACACCATAACCTTCTTCATCCTCACCGTCGTCTTCTATTGGATACTCGATACCAGTCGTCGAAGAAACCTCAACTTTACTTTAATAATCTGCACCGGTATTCTTGGAGTCGGCTCCGAATTCCTCCAGGGTTTCTTGCCCAATGGTAGAATCTTTGATTTCTATGATATCGTCGCCAATATCGTGGGTTCGCTCGCTGGTGTCGCATTGTGTAGTTGGTATCATTTGCGGATGTTGGAGCGTAAGCGATTGGCAAAGACGTATCATGTTGTACCCGGGGACGAAGAGCAAGATTTGGAATTGGGAGAGGGAGTGGGAGCACAGGAGAGTGGTGTGGCCGCGGCATCGAGGACACTGGATGAAGAAGTTGATGATTGGGATGAGAATATGGAAGATGCGTGGGATGAGGATGAACAAGCAGGTGCTGTGGATAGTGTCGAGGGTGAAGGGTTGAAGACGCCAAGTGCTAGTAGTACTGGTGAAGTTGATGGAGACCCAAAGAAAAGGGCAGTTTAAGTTACAATGTAACTTGCTATGATGTTACGCATATGATTGGCTACAACGTAGTTTTATGAAGGAACGAAATCAAAAATTCCTTGACGACGAAATATGTTAGGTAATCGGATGTATATTAGATGATGTTTCATGCGAAAAAGGAAAACACAATGGAAAAAATACAAGCAACTGGCACAAGTGCTCATACCAAATTCTTTGATTCAACCACTATGATATATTATCCGCAAATGAATGAGTGTGGGGGTGCCTATCGATTAAAATCCCCGGTACAAACGCATGATCATGAATACACGCAGCACTTCAAACATTTCTCCCAGTACCAACTCTGAAGACCATACAATAATTTATAAACCCCATTAGAATATATCACCCACGAATGCACATGCCGCTCCTACATCATGGACATGAAAACTACACTTTGAAGGTGCCAAAGGCTTGGGAGATGAAGAAGAAACGGACGGAGTCACCGCGCTCCCCTTGTTAATAACTATCATCCAATTCGATACATCCCTCCACAATTTCGGATGAGCAGATTCCATCCAGGTCTGTTTCTCTGCAAAATCACCCATAGCTAAAAGGCTAATCGCCAATGAGCGGGACACGAACGAACGAAGTTTGGAACCGTCATCCGTATCTATATATATCAAATGGGCGTACTTTTCGTCGAACGTCAATTCATCATGCGTTGCATAATTTGTGATGAGAACGGTCATGGTATAATCCATAAGTTCTTGAAGTTCGTATTCAACTCCTAGACCATACAGGATGACGCGACTTCGAAAGGAAATAAGTCCCTCTTCGATGTCCAAAGGTGCGTACACTCCGCGTTGAATCCATTCGAGAAATAGAGCGAAGGAAGTTGGTTCTTTGTCGGGAAGATTCAAGTGCTTGAGCTCGGGGCTCTGCGTGAAAAGGTCATCGAAGTATTTGACTTTGGCACGAAGAAGGGCTTTCGGGGCGTGAAAGGTACGACGATTGTGCGGGACATTGCCAACGTATAGTCTAATGAATTCTTCACGTTCAATGAAACGCGCCCGTGTATTCCCCTGTTTACCCAAGTAATGCCGACCCTTCTCATGTGTGTCCTTTGAAGATTCTACAGTGGCATGCTTTTCTTCTGGGTCATGTCTTTCCTCCAATGACGACATAATATTGATATCATTAAAGGGTGCCATTCCCTCCAGCGGTGCCATGCCACTCTCTCCATCAATCACCGAGTCAGCCCTCATATTATTTTTCCACCTCTTTGTCGATTTCTTCCTCTCCAGCCCCACATATTTTAATTCCTCGCCTTTCTTTTCGATCGCCATCGGTCGGGGTTGTGTGTGTGGTGGTTTTATGAACTTCAACGCCAAAGCTATTGCGATGAATATTGAATCTCAATGCTAGGTCACTGAACCAAACTAGATGATAAAAAGATACCTATTATACCAAAGTCCAGAAATGTACTGAAACGACCTACTGACTTCCAGTCAAAACGAAATGATGCTCAGCGAATAACAATGAACACGATTTCTAACAATACGGTGTTGATCTCCAAAACGAGATGATTTATTCTTCAGTGAAGGGTACGAGAAGAGACAAAATCAGAAACCAAAACCAAAATCGAAAAGAGCATTGAAGACTTAATGGATGTACTTAGGATTGAAAAGTTTGATAGAAGAGAAAACAGGAATTTAGGACAGAAGGCTTAAGGTATTGAAGAGAGATATTAAGTTAAGAAAGAGGTGAAATTTCCCTACTGTTGAAATTGGAAAGCACGGCTGCTTGACATGGCGGGTTGTGACATGAAATTTTACTAGGAGGCTCTTGCTGAGAGCCGACCCTGTCGTAACAATTTACGATTGATGGTATGAAATGGAGAGAGGCAAGAGAACGTTTTGATGCAAAAGCTTAAAAATTGGTATCAATTCGCTTTAACCTACTTGTGGATTTCCAAAACCATGGTATTTGGGCTTTCTATTTCTTATTAGCCTATTCGTTCTTCCGGAATCTGGCCATACAACGGATGTTCTACTCAGACTCGAATATCGTACCATAAGATTCTTTTCTGGGTTAATATGATGGGTATACATGTTTGTGGGCGTTTGGACATTGAAGTGATGTTTTGCAATTAATAGGCAGGAAAGGTCTAACACAATCACCTTGATTGCGAATCTTCATCATGTCATGACATAAAACTCATGCTGATTTTCAAGGATCCTTTGTACACATCATAAACATTAGGCCAGATATCATTTCTCATAATTCGTCAATCAGCTTTCCAAATATGTCCACCACCTTTCTGCCAAAGCCATAAAGCTTCTATCGCGTAGGCCTTGCTGCCTTGGTGTCCCCCTTCAGTGTTAGCAGCTTCCTCAAGAGTTTGAATGACTTTGCCCTCTTCTACGATTCTCCATAAACCCTTTGGCATCTCAGTACCCGGATCTCCCCACTCGCCTCTGCCGAGCCTGTATAGAAATCTCCCCAGAGTCTGGAATGCAATACACCTTTGGGCTGGAAACGCAGAGCGAGCTAATCTTGCCAATTCCGGAATTGTGTACCCAGCCGCTTCGGGAGCCTCACCATGATGGTGTAACCCTTTGGTAATTGGCATAGCCCTCGCAATTCTGGGTGGCAACAGACCTCCTCTAAAATCAAATCGAAGGGCTGAAGCTGCCAAAGCTTCCGCTGCTGGATAGTACGGAGATTCTTGGTCTGCTACCGAACCATGTGTGGGTATTGGTGCCATCCAAGCGAGCTTTGAGGGATCAGCGGGAAGAGATGGATAATATTTCTGATGTAGGTTTTCAAGAAACGAAGGGTCGTTCGGATCTAAGTCTGGAACAGCGGGAGCGGTCGGGAAGTGTATCGATGGTTGAGGAAGTTCAGGGACGCTCGAAGCAGGCTCTGATGTTGGTTTTAGATCTATGGGTTTTGTCGGTTCTTCATCTTCTTCAAATCTCACAGACTTTTGAGGCGCGACTGGCTTTCCTTCTGGCTTGGGTGCAGGAGTGGCTTGATCTTTGTTTTCCAGAGGTATAGTCTTGTTCTCATCGTTCTTTAGTGATTGAGTCAACGATGGGGGATCTATTCCCGTATCTCCACGGCCGTCATCAAAATTGGCTCTCTTCAACAGTCGTTGGATCAAAGAAGGATCTAAAGTAGCGAGTAAGTCTTCTTGTTCTTGCTCAATTTCTTCCTTTGACATAGAAGCTATTCTCATTTTATTCTCCTCATCTATTCTCTTCCTTTCCTTTTCGATACTGAAATCGTCCTCTTGAGAAGCTGCCTTCTCTGCGCCCGTTGGACGTCCCTGAGAAGGTGGAACTCCGAAAGCATTGGGAGAGTCTGTTACCGCTGCCTTTGGAATGTCTGCCACCGAATCGTTTGCGCTACCCGCCCTTTGTTTTTTGAATGCTGATACTCGTACTCTTTTTTTATGTTCGGGAAAGCCTGTTGTTGAAGTTTTTAATTGAGGAGCTGTTGGCGGTTTCGTAGAACGTTCTTTGATATCTGCGACGAAGGGAGAGGTGAATGAAGGGGTATTGTTCGATGGAATAGTTGAGCTTGATTCGATTTCATCCTCATCATCGGAAAGATTCACAGTAAATCTCTCACCACGAAACTCCATGTTTAAATATATTTTGGCACAGAGTAGTGTTTTTGTAGTCTTTTTTTTGTTTAGGTTGTGGGGAAATTAAGATCCGTATGCAAGGCTGCTAGGATATCGAAAACGTGAGCCTCTAGGGAAAAAAAATAAGGTTATGCGCTAACTCACAATCGACTAGCTGCATTTCACAAACATTTATTTCGGGAAGCCATCAGACGTCGAGCAACGATTGACAACATCTCGATGGAAAACAATATCGATTCTATTGTTACACTTTTGGCTCGAGGTTATGCATGTTAATAATATACCGACATAAGTGTCAATATTGGATAGATAAATAGGTAGGATTACATATACGTATCATGAAATGAATCAAAATATTTTATCAACCATGATACGAACATTTAAAGGGGAAGATTGAACTGAAGTAAGTTCTGGTACTGTATTTGCCGAAAATGGAGAGATTTCTTTTAGATGCGGAACTGCACATACGGCTGCACACACGGAGATGTTATCTGATGTTTCCGTTGGATATAACTGGGTATAAAATCACATGCATAATTAGTTTTCAACATCATCCCCCCCCCTCCCCCCCCCCCCTTGTCAGTTTATAGAGGTAGAGAGACTGGGGTGGTGAGAGTCAGTCTGTCCTATTGTTGGAAAAACGGATCATTATTACCTACCTACCGATATAGTACTCATTCGGTATGTAGCTAGGTAGCTAGGTAGCTAGCTAGTATTATTCTTCAAGCTAAAAATACGGGAGAATTGATTTATCGAATGCTTCTTTCTGCTTTTCTTTCTCTCTTTCCCTTTCTCTCGCTCTCTCTCTCTATCTTCCCAACACCCGCATCCTTATTTAGTTCATAATCACCAAATTGACTGTGATACCTTATTATTAGGTAAGCATTTTTACCCTTTTTACCCTTTGCCCTTTGCTCTTTGCCCTTTGCCCTTTTCGCCCTGGTCTTGTTTCGTCTATCGTCTATTCCCATCGGACAGACAATCAATCGTAGCTTGGAGAAGGAGAATCTCTTCTACCCGACGCTTCTATTTTCCCTTGTCAGACCAACCAAATTGCCTAGGGACCTACAGCTCACAGGACTATTTTAATTGCTTCGATGATCCGCAATGGAACACACCACACACCACACACCACCGCACATAAACTCCGAACACATCCCCCCATGTCCAACACCCAAATCTAAAGCAAAGCCCCATATGCCCAGACCAAGTCGTACCAATTGACTGAAGTGAAGGTGGGTAGGAAAAAGCAAAGAAATCGAAACAGAAAGGCTTATTACTTATTGCTAGTACTACGGCATTTTGGACCAACTAGCGTGGGCAATCTCTCTCTCTCTCTCTCTCTCTCTTGCTCTCTCATCTCAATTCATCGGTCAGTTACTCAGTCAGTCAGTCAGTCAGTCAGTTATCAGTCCATGTTCCGGCAACCGTTCTTTCCCAATCCAATTCCCACTTCTTCCCCTTCCCTTTCCTTTCCTTTTCTTTCCTTCCCTTGCCCTTCCCTCTCTACCTTTTGCCTTTCCCTTTGCCTTTCCCTTTGCCTCTGCCCTTGACACCACCCACCCACCCACCACCTACCCTTTCTTTCCCATCCGTACCATACGGCCAAAAAAAGAGTTTCTTATTAAATATGGCGTCTGTGAATAATTGGAAAATGTCGCTTGTATTGAATTAAATCCAAAACGTAGTAATGATCAAAGTACAAGAAGTCTAAAATCCCCCCCTCTCTTCCATCTCCATATCTAACACCCTTTTCAACACTTTTCTTCAACTCAAACCCTTCTTCTCAATTACACTTAACAATTTATACAAGTTCAAATCATCAATCGATCCATTTCATCAATCATTTTTGACTTTCTATCGATCACCGTCTCAAAATAATCCCAATAGATACCGATTAGTCTCAACTATTTGTTCCTCTATCAATCACTTTGATCTCAACTCGCTTCCTATCAACAACAACCATTTTTCAGTTTTCCCATCCTCGTGTCAAAAGTGAAGCTATTCAGAAGTTTCGCAACGCTTTCGTACTACGAACGTTATCGCCAACAACAATCACGGGTTACATGCAAATCACGCCCAAAAAAATCAAAAATCAAAATTCACAATTGAAACACGTACATTTATCCAGAGTTCAATAGATGGTGCAGATTACACATTGGAATATTCAGATTAGATAACTTGAGTTTATTTGTCAAAAATGTCAAATTCTCATGATGTTCGCGGGGTTTCACCACAGATGGGTTCCAACAACAGCAATTCCGATTTATCATCCCCACCAAGATCCAGTCCCGAGATAGATGACATCCAAATTCGTAATGATTCAAATAGCATTACCGTCACCCAATCCAATGGCGCTGCCTCAACATCAGAAAAGCCAACCCGCAAGAAGGCCGTTAGAAAATCTAGACCAAAGGTCGGTGATCCTAGTTCGGCCACCAATACCGACGCTCCAAAACCTAAAAGAGTACGCAAACCAAGAGACCCTAATGCTCCTCCTTCTGCACGATCACGAAAGCCAAAGGCGACACCTTCCGAAAATACCAATGGGGGAGAATCATCACGACAAACAAAGATTACTGATGCTCCTGGGATGCATCTAAGTGATGTTAGTTTCAGTGCTCCTGCAACCCCACCAGTACAGAACGCTATGATTGCCAATTCGGGACAAAATGAGGCTATTCCCAAATCCTTCTTCAATACCGCCCCACCTCAACCGAAACCTCAAGTTCCTCCGCCACAACAAGTACAGCAACAAATCAGTCAACCCCAGTCACATGTGGCAATACAACCACCACAACCACAGAGTGCTGTCCGTACTAGCGGTCAAAACTATGATCCTATTAGATCTAATTTTGATCCTGTTCGAGAAACCCTCGTCAGTCACCACTCGTACAACAATTCTCAAGGATCACCGATTCCACCTCAAGTCACCAATCGCGCAAGTGCATCACCTTCCATCGCCAGTCTTGTCGATCCTCCTAATCAGCCATTAACCTCGCCATCGGCTCATTCGTTTTTAATGCATCAACAACGTCAGCAAGACGGTCATACTTCCTTACCTGCCTCCCCAATTGTCAATAGGTTAGGATTATCAGCGATGTCTGAGACAAATAGTCCTCGACCTTTTGCACCTACCCCAACATTAACGTCACAACCAATGCCCGTCCCAACACTACCTACGGCTCCAATTGTTTTGGCGCAAAAGGAATCTCAAGTTTCTAACGGTAGTTCTAATAAGAAACCCGCAACCAATGGAATTTCAGGAACCTCAACGCCAAAGCCACCGGCAAAGGGCAAAGAAAAAGAGAAAGAAAAAGATATTCTTCTTACCCCGCCACCACTTCCTGGTTCAGGCCTGATGGGACTCGGAGGTAATGACGGTACGGAGACGCGTGCCCCCACAATCGTTCTTGACATTCCCTTGAATGGTGATGTAAATATTTATGTCAATTTCGCTCGCACGGCCGAGGAGAAATATGGTTGGGATGCCTTACACCCCCGATTGGCAGCTCAACGTGATCGGCTTGCAAGGGTTGCAGCAGCAGGTGCGGCCTTGGAGAGAAATGGCTCCAACAAGGAGAGTGGTGATGAAATGTCACTGGATTCTGAAGGGGAGGGTAGTAATGTTGAGATGGGCGGAATGAGTGATGGGCGAGTTGGTACTGATAGCGGTACAAGAAAAGCTAAAGCTGTCCCGAAAAGAAAGACCAAGGAGGATGAATACGACAAGGACGACGGTTTTGTTGACGATTCGGAGATGATTTGGGAGGAACAAGCTGCCGCTGTAAACGATGGCTTCTTTGTATATTCTGGTCCTCTCGTTCGAGAGGGTGAGAAACCAACACTCGAGAGGTATGACCACAAACCACTGATGAAATACAATACAGAACTAATTCACTACATAGGGGTGAGGGTCCAGCAAAGAAGCCTCGAGTTCGAAAACCAAAAGCTGCCACTGGCGAGAAAGCCACCACAAGTCGTGTCAGTACGGGTGGTAAAGCTGCTGCTACATCAAGCGGAGCGGGTTCTCGTGGTGGAAACACAGCAGCACGTAAAGCTCGTATCACGAAAGCTGATCGTGCACGCATGGAGCAAGAGAAACTTGAGCGAGAGCAGATGGGTTCCATGGCTGGTATGCCCGGAGGATATAATACCATACAACTTGCACCGAGTTTGGGTGGAACACCCATGGTTTTTAATCAGTAAGGTCAATCAATTAATGGGATGGATGGCATTTGGCTGGGATCAATGGTCAGGCATATTTTTTTGTAGAGTTTTTTATTCTTGAAAACATCACCTCCTCGTATGGGTGGAAATGGTAAACTTACCAAGGCGTTGGGATGGATCGAAATGCATATGGAGTATTGATTGGGTTGGGGTTTCAATCCACGCGCATACAATCCTGGTTGTACATTAGACTGCCTGTCTTTGCATGACTGAATAGTTCTATACCTTTTGACTGTACGAGTATATTGCAAAACAAGAATTTCAAATGTTATAATATTCATTTCGCTGTGCACTTGTGACGGATGATGATTTAATTTTGGTAACTTGGAGAGTGAAGGCAGGCAAATTAAAGCGGCAAGCAATTATCACCTGCACGAAAGAATGTGAAGCCAAAGATACAAGTCAACGTCATGGGATATATGAAGATGGGTATACCTATGAAAATAGGAATAGACCTCTGCATTGAACTTGCTTGCACATTCGGATTCCAGCCAGTATCCATAATACTATAGCTAGTACTTATTAGTGAATCAAGCAGATCTCATGATCAGTCCGTCGATCTATCAATCAATAACCAAAATACCCCTCGCTAAAAGCGGCCAGCACCGAGCATCGGTTTCAACGATATGATTGCATCACAAGTGACAATGCCCAAGTAAAATAAACACAGGCACGAAAAAGTATTTCCCGCCCGCATGAGTCCCTGTTGATAGCTCTTTTTGTTCCTTCGAATAGAGTCTAGGTTTCTATTTCACATTTTGAATTTTGAACTGCTATTGTCATTGTAATTCTCATATCCATCTACCTTCCCACCCCTCCACACCCGCAGTATCTCTGCGATACTTCCTCATCATGTCCTCAACCACTCCTCCCGCGCAGGAAAACCCCAAACAAAGACCCTCCGCACTGCGCAGCATCATCGCAGGAAGCACCGCCGGCGCCGTCGAAATCGCCATCACGTATCCGTTTGAATTCGCAAAGACACGAACGCAGCTGAATAGAAGATTGCCCGAGAGTGGGAAGTTGCCGTGGCCGAAATTTGGGAGCGCGTGGTATGCGGGGTGTACGACGTTGATTATTGGGAATTCGTTGAAGGCGGGGATTAGTATGTTTTTTCTTCTTCTTGGTTAGCTTTGGGGGATTGGGATTGGGATTGGGGTTGGGATGGTTGGGGGAATAGAGAGGAGAGGGGGGAATTGATACTGTGGGAGAGTTGTGGGTGTGAACAAATGAATGCTAATCTCAATCGCAAATAGGATTCGTCGCATTCGATCAATACAAAGCACTACTCCAAGACGCGGATGGAAAGATTTCCGGGCCCAGAACTGTAATTGCTGGATTTGGAGCTGGTGTTACGGAGAGTCTATTAGCAGTCACGCCTTTCGAGAGTATCAAAACTACATTGTAACACCCCGCTCCCCGCTCCCCCCACCCCTCTCCAAACTCAAAAACCCCTAACACACCCCAGAATCGACGACCGCAAATCCGCCAAACCCCGTCTTCGAGGCTTTCTCCACGCCGTCCCCATCATTGCCCGCGAAAGAGGCCTACGCGGATTCTTCCAAGGTTTCGTGCCCACCACCGCTCGTCAATCTGCCAATTCCGCTGTCCGTTTCGGCTCCTACACTTCGCTGCGACAGCTCGCACAATCCTATACCGCGCCGGGCGAAAAACTAGGCGCTTTATCTACTTTTGGAATCGGGGGGTTAGCAGGTATCATCACGGTGTATGTAACGCAACCGCTTGATACGGTCAAGACGCGCATGCAGAGTATCGAGGCGCGAACGCTGTATAAGAATAGTTTTCACTGCGCGAGTTTGATTGTGAAGAATGAGGGCTTGTTTACGTTTTGGAGTGGGGCGTTGCCGCGATTGGGAAGATTGATTCTGAGTGGTGGGATTGTGTTTACGATGTATGAACAGAGTATTGAGTTGATGGGGAGAGTGGATCCGAATGGGAGGCTTATTTAGGGGAAGGTGATGGGGAGGGACGGGAGAGAAGGGAAGGGGTGATGCATTTTGGGCACACAGTGAAGAATCGACAGGCCTCGTAGAATTCCGTAATATAACTCGAGAGTACCAGCTTCGCAGTGGAATCATAGCTTGCAGATTTGGATATCGAACGTTGTAGTCTCGGTAGGAGGAATGGAGGGATGAGCTGTGTGCTTTGTGCTTCGTATGTACATATGTAAGTACAGAGCAAGAGTTGCTATTGCACTTCCCTTACTCTTGGGCACATTGAAAGGAACGAAGAAGGAAAAGAAAACAAGAAAGAAAAAGCCTGGTATCTAGCTAGAGATTCAAAGTTTCAAAGCTCGAGTATATATCCTTCAATGAACGAATATATTATGATTTCCCAATGAATATATACCCCTCTGTTTACCGAGTGATACAAACACTTATGCAACCATCTCTTCATCCTTCGCTCCAGACATCTTGTAATCATCAGACTCATAAATCAATCAAACGTACGAAAGACCTAATATTTACGAAATTCCATTCCATTCCATTTCCTACCTATTTATATACATCCTAATTTTACCCCTTCTTCTTTTTCCCTCCCCTTTCATTCATCACCGTCATATTTGTTTACAACATAAGTAAACCACTCATTGAAATCGTAAAGCTCCCTTCCATCTATTCACCTGCTGTTGAAACCAACTCCTATTCGGTGCCTCTTCGAGCTCTTTCACGAGATCTTCGTAGTATGTTGGGTTGCTGGCGGGTTTGAGGGTTTTGCTTGTGAGGGGGTACTAGATTGAGGGGGGGGCGTGTTAGTTAGGGGTTTCTTTTTAATTATTTTCCTTTCTTTTGTTTCTTCTTTTCTTGAGAAAATAGAATATAAAGTATTCTCTGCCCTCCATCTTCTTCTCCCTCCATCTCTCCCTCTCCCTGATTCCTGAAAATGAATTAAACATACCTTCCCCAAATACCGATTCTCAACTAAACTATACAATGCGTTTACCTGGCCGAGCTCTTTCTTTTCATTGAAGTTTCCAGCAGTGGATATGCGTTCGAGACGGCGTCGGATGGCGTCTTGGAATTGGGCTTCGGGACGGAGAGCGTCTTTGGGCCAGCGGGAGAGGGCGCGGAGGTAGTGGCGGGTGGCGGGCTGGAGGTGTTAGTTGGGGAGTTTGGGTTTGGGAGGGGAGGGCAAGGGAGGAATGGGAGGGAATTGGGAAAAGGGGAGTAGGAGGTAGGGAGGAGGGGATAAGAGGTAAGAGGGGGGAAGAAGGAGGGGGGCAGGACAGGGAGGCGTTGAATAGAATGAGGATATAGCTTATGCAGAGTAAGAAGTTCAAACAGTCTTCATAACATAACTACTCCACCCCATCCTATCCTATCCAGTTCATCCCATGACATGAAGATCTAGACTTCTAGCCCAAGCGAGCACATCCCATCATAGCTCGCCCCCGAAACAAGTTCAAGGATTTGATTTCCCAAACACCACCACCATCGATATCAAAAACAGAGGTACAGACAAAAGTTAAAGAAAACCAAAGCTTACCGATTGCGACATGATGTTTTCAATAAATTAAAATCTCTGATACAAAATATTCACAAAGAGATGGACAGGGAATCTTCTGTATCTCGTAGAATTAGAGGGGGAGAAATAAAATGGATTTTCAATGCAGATTATATTATGGATGTGATGGATAGATAAGATACTCGATATGTGGGTGGTAGGTACCGTATGCGGTCATGACTTTTGGGAGAATGGTGAATGGGAATGAATGATGCTTCTAGGGTGCGCTAGAGCCTAGAGAGGAATAGAAAAGAGAGTTGGTGAGTTTTATTAGTGGGTGGTGGTGGTGCATGTTGTAACTTGGTGCGGTGCTGCTATATTTGGATGTTAGAGATTGGGTAGGGTGGTGTGTGATTAGTTGGGGTTGGGGAATGTGATGGGTGTGTGGTTAGTAGATTTGGGAGAGTTTGATGCGAGAATTGGGGGCAGGTGACTTGGGACTTGGGGGCATGATTTGTAAGAGATCTCGTTAGGCACGGGGTTAATAATCATAAGTTGGGAATCTCATCTCGGAAGAATCATTAGGGAACTTTGAGTACCTGGGTATTATAAAACATATAGACGATCGTATGTAAGTTATATATTTACCACATATTTCTGCATAATTCTAATCCAATTCTATCACAATAATAAATCCCATTGTTCATCCCCTTATTAATCCAAAAAGCCGTTCACCAGTCCTTACTGCGCCTCGTCCATCTCCATCGAAAATGTCAATGATTTCTAGCGAATGAATGTGGCGCTACAGACTTTATCTTATTAGGTATACTAATAAATAACAAGAGTACCACCTAACAATATTATAACCCATCTCATATCTCAAACAAAGCCGAAAGGACCATCCTGCTCCACGACCTTCCACTTCTACTTCTTTTCCCTCTAACTCTCCTGTCTCCTCCTTCACACAAACAACCTTTCCTTTTCTTCCTTTCACCTACTTCACGACCTACGCCTTTTTCTCCCCCCAACCCTTTACATTCATTCGCTCACAACTCGAGTTTTGTTCCTTGGTTCTTTTTTCTTTTCTGTCTTATTCGAATACCCAACTCAATTTTAAGATGAGTTCGCAACGATATGAGAGGGTGCGTAATCCCCACCTAATCCGCGCCACGATCTGTGTAGTGGATGCTATGGCTATGATTCAAAAAGAGAATACATACTGATACATTTTGAAATAGGTATCTGCGAACGATGAAGATACCCCTCCGACACCTACATCCCCTCCACCATCCTTCCGATCGCGAGGTTCCTCTCCCTCTTCACGACATCACGTAGCGCCCGTCGACCAAAATCTAGCGGATACTTTTGATGATGGATCTGATGATGAGGATAACGATGGAGATGATAGGCAACGATTAATGCGTGGAAATCCTTCGTCGTCAACGGAGAGATTGAATGAAACGACGAGCGACGATCGACCAACTACTCAGAGAACAGTAACCGTCGTGCCGACATTTGTACCGCCAACAGGTGGAAGAGTTTATGGCGGTGGTTCGGGTTCTGATGGTGTTTTTGCGAATCTAAGTGCTAAGCCTGAGAGAGGCGAGAAACAAGAAGAACATCCTCCTGTATGTATACATATTATAGTGTTGTGAACTTGTACTAATTAATTTTAGACATACGAACAAGCAGCCGCAGATGCCGCACCACCGTACTGGGAAACCACCATTCTCGCTCCCGGATTGGGTGGATTAGATGAAGTATACGTCGAAGGTCTTCCAGTTGGCTCTTTATTCTCTTTTATCTGGAACGCCATGATATCCATGTCTTTCCAACTCGTTGGTTTTCTCCTCACATATCTGTTACATACCACTCACGCCGCCAAAAATGGATCTCGTGCCGGTCTCGGAATTACGCTTATTCAATATGGTTTCTATATGAAAGGAACAAATAATGTCGTTACGCCACCTTCAGGGGGAAATGATGCATCATATGCTCAACCTCCCGATCCAAATTCTCATGATTTCGACCCCGACAAGGTTAATGCGGCTGCTACTGCAGGAATGGATTCGGGAAGTGGAGGAATTGGTGATATCGCTAGTAATGAATGGTTTGCGTATGCATTGATGATTGTTGGATGGTTCATCTTGATTAGAGCATTTAGCGATTTCATTAGAGCGAGGAGACATGAGCAATTGGTGTTACAAAGCCCGGATCGTGGATTACCAGTTCCTATTATTGCGACTGGCGAGGAGAGCGAGACTATTGTTTAGGGACGATTAAATGGATAGGGTTGGATGGGGATATGGACAACTGGAATGACAGGGAAGATATTCTTCACGTAAAGTAAAGCATAGAAGCTTACCCGGAGTTTATATGGACAGGCTAGGCTAGGATGGAATCAAGAGATTATGGATGGGAGATAGGGAAAGGATTACTTTACAAGAAGAATTCCTGATAGGGTTACTATAACTTTTTTTATTTTACTTTTTTTTATTTTACTTTTTTTAAATATCATCTGGTTGGACAAGTGGGCGTTACATAATCTCATTCTCCCTTTTTTTTGTCTTGTATTGTGGTATGGTTTTTTTTGCTACTGCTTGCTTGCTTGCTTGCTTGTATCGATCGATATACTGGTGTAGGTTGGCTGGCTGACTGAGGAGTGTGAAGATGATTGAGGAGTAGATGATTGATTGTATTAAGTTGAGATATTGAATGAAAATCTGGGATTTATATACAAGTACAATTATATACGGTTATATGAAATGTCTCGGGCTTTTTGACTTTGTGATTCTTTCTTTGGAAGTTTGGAGTGAAGGTATGGATGGATTGATTGAAGTCATGGATGGATGGATGGATGAATGGATGGATGGCTAAATGATGTGATGGTATACAGAGCACAGTAGCTTGTAGCTTGTATATTTGTTGATTTATTATGATCTTGATCTTGATTATAGTCTTGATTATGATTATGATTATGATTATGACTATAATTATGATTATGATTATAACTATATTCCTATTTAGCTAGGCGTTCTCTTGGAGTTCATTCCATCATTACTACTATTACTACTATCTATTTACTACTTACTACTTATTACTTACTCGAGTACTTATTAGGTATATACCTCCCATCTAAGTACTATCTCCCATCTCCCATCTCCCATCTCCCATCTCCCATCTATCACTACAATCTCATCCCCATCCACATGCACAACCACAACCACAACCACAATCCCATCTATATCCAAACAGACCGCCAAACAGCCAGCCAGACTCGAATTACCAAATTACAGAATTACAGAATTATCAAATGACCAAATGACCAAGATATTTCACCAGGTACTAGATAATATGATATCTATCTGACTTCACATACTCACTCACTCACTAGAAAACTAGACAACTAGGTAACTAACCTTCTCGCGATGATGATTCTCACCAAATGGAGGAGGAACCATTGACTTGATAAAGATAAATCTACAGTAAAAAGCTCACCGGGGATTTGGATTTTTCCGATTTTCACTCACTACTAAGACAGAAGACCTTTTTGGAGCTAACCGGGACTTGAGCCAAAGAAACCGAAAAATGCGGCGACAGCACAATATACTCCTCCCTTTCATCATGACTTCACAGAACATTTTCAAAGACAAATTTAAATCAACCATAAACACATTATTTTGAATCATCGTTGCTCATTCCATCCTATTCAATACTAATCCTAACCATAACTAATAGCCTTATTCAAGGCTCAAAAACAAGAGCAACAGGATATCATTTTTGCCTTCATCTATTTTCCCATCTCTCTCTTCTCACTTGCAATGAGAAACACACAATGAATCTTTCTCTTAGCTTTCTATTACTCCCAACACCAAACAATCTTTTGTTATTCCTCCCATGCCACAATTCCGGAATTAATCCTTCGCTCCAAACTCCAATATAGTAAATCTAACAGTAACAATTAATCCAATAATGTTTGCTCATCTGCTGCTTGTAGTATGCGTGTCGATCAAGTTTCGTTATTCTTACTCTTAGCATTGTCGATGTGTTCGTAGCTTTCCTTCATGCTGTAGGGTCATAGTGTTCATCATATCCGAGTAGGTCTTCTCAGCATCTTTAACCAGCATATACAAACCGTCCCAAATGGAGGCCAAAATTCTTACTTTGTCCCTCTTCGATAGGTGACAATTGCTCATCCTCTCCCTCGCTGTCTGGTATAATCATATCCTCGCTACCCTTTGAATTCAAAGCAGCCTCCTCAATCGCATCAACTGGGGGCAATGGAATGGATGCCGGTTTAACGTCTGCCAAGTTTGATTTGTTATCTTTGCTGTTTTCGGGGGAAGAAAGGCCGGTTGTCCCTCGAAGAAAGGCGATGGGACCAGCAGAAAGCATAGGCGCCATAGGCGTCATTGGTGGTGTTGGTGGTAGGTTGAAGCGGTTGTGTGCGACAGCACTCAATCGTTGAAGAGGCGTGAGAACAGATCTAGTAGAGGTGGCAAGGGATTTCTTTGAAGCTGCAGTGGTTAACTTTGTTGAAACAGGAATCTTCGATTGGGACTGAGCCGAGGAGGAAGTTGGAGTTGGAAGACCTTGGTTGAAAATGGTCTTTGGCGTTCTCAGAGTCGAAGCATCAAAAGAATACCTGCTTTTCAGACTTGGAAACGGGGTGGACGATTCGGGGATCGGAGATGGAGGTTGCTCAGATGAATTCCTACTGGAGGTCGAAGATTCGAGGCTAGGGACCGTGTCCTGGGACTTTTCAGTCTGATCGTGCTCGGTTAACGTACTTGTGCTTTGCGGTGAGTCAAGAGTAGATTTGAATGAAGCGTCTCTGAAAATTTTGATTTTGGGCTGCTTGTTTGTCAAGTAGTTATCGACATCTGGAATGCTCATCATCGCTTCCTCAATGGAATCATCCGAGAAGATGGTAATATCTTCCTTCTGTTTATTCTTTTTCTTGGAGACCTTGTTAACGCTTGGACTATCATCCTCGAATCCGTCTGCAAAGAACCGGCTTCGACCAAGTTCCACTTTTTGGCCAGTTCCGGGTGTTTGGAGAGAGGAATCATCTTCACATAGACGAGCACGCTTTTGTGGACGAGACTCTGTGGGCGACATCACTCTTCTTCCAGTCGAAACGGGTCTTTGCGAAGTGGCATGAGGAGGTAATTGGGGCTCGAGATCGGTGGTAGCTCGTTGCAGATGAAGGCGGACTGGTTCAGCAACCCATGAGCCAGGATTGCGAGAAAGAACCTCCTGTTGACTACGAGAATGTGTAAAGGAATTGATGTCCAGTTCCGCAAGAGGAGTCCTCTTGGCTTTGAAATATGTCTCGATTGAAACACCCTTCTTGAGATCGCTTGTGGATACAGATCTCTTCGAAGCCATGAAAGGATTTGCCATCTTGCTTCTGCGCCCAGTGATGATAGGTTGCTTGGTGATAGGATTCAAATCGCCTTTCGCAACTCCTTGGGCAATTTCTGGTAAAACGTCGTGCCCAATAAATTGGGTTTGATCTTCCGTGAGTGGAAGATCGGGTTGGGTGTGGAGCACTAAAGTGAGAGAGTGGGGACAGAAAACTCTTTGATGTAAAAAGGTGAATTCGGCTTGGTAAAAAGATTCCAGGTAATTTTTCGGTACGTGAAATTTTCCGTCAAATTGAATCATACGGAGGACGTTCTCGATCGTCTTATGCTTCCGAACCAACCGATAGGCTGTCTTTAGGCCCATATTGCTCATACTAGGCAAATAATCGCACCCACTTAGTATTGCCATTCTTCGAAACTCGGCGTCAGACCAGCCCGTCAAATTAACATCTTTGCAAGCGCAGAAATCGGCCTTGTTGACCTCGATACAATTTCCATACTGGTCCAACTTGGTAAGAAGACATTTAGCACCGAATACTAGAAGATCAGAGTCCTCAGATAATATTCCATCGATTATGCCTTTTCGCTCCAGGTAGACCATTTGGGCATCGGCTTCATATGGAGCTACAATATATTGTACTCCCATCTCTTTCAACTCATCAATAACATGGCGGGCCATCTCTGGAGTTACATCGACTGCTTTTTGAAATTCCATGTACGCTTGGGAAGTCTTTCCGGCATTTAATAACTCTTGCCCAAGTCGTTTACTATCTTTCCGACGCTTTTCTCTGTCCTTCTCTGTCACAGCCTTACTTGGCAAGTAATCTCCATCGAATATCAAGTAAGGAGTGACGCCAAAATGGAGCAGCATCCGTACCCGGTGCACACAATACTCAACATATCTGCTTTTTGGGTTAGCTATTTCTTCCTAGGCTTGTCTCGGTCTCCCTACTTTCTTGTTGGCTTTCCCATGGCAAGTTCCAAAGCACATGATACAGCTCCACGATGTAGCCAGCCATAAGCATCCACCCCGAGGGTTTTGCCATCGAACTTCTTCAAATTACATGGCTTTTGTATGGATTTAAGCAAAGGGAGAAGGCCTATAGGTGATTAACATAAGAAAACTCGTAGCAATTATCAATCATTTATATACATACCACTGATCCCCATATTGACAATGATGTTAGCAACACAAAGCAAACGAATCAATAGAGGGAGATTCGAGGAACCATCAGACCATTAACCATGAATTAGATGTCGTAGGGTGGCGAGCAAAGAATGAAACGAATGTGTAGGTCAAGACATGGATAAGGGGAAGAGAATACTATTACTTATAAGTGTTCAATGGTCGTTGAAGTTGTCGTAGGTTGTTGTGAAGAAGTCGATAAGATGTTGATATCAAAGTTCGAAGTCTAAAATGCCCATCCACTTAAACCTGCATGATAGAAAGAACGCGTGTGGAAGGCGCGTCGAACACCAAGGAACTTCCTTTGGCTTCACTACGGCAACCATGAAATTGATTGGCGGCGCACCCTTTTTTGCAGGTGAGTTTGGGACCTCATATCCCTGCTAGCGTACATTTCATCAAGCGGGGAATTTTGCGATAAAGATTCCGATATGGAAAAAAAGTTCAAGAACCGAGTATCTACAACTTTACCTGCATACCATCAACATTTTCAATCTAATACACTTCGATCAATCAATCACAACCTTCACGATGCCAAAAAGTCTCAAGAAAACGTCGAAGCATATCTCGAAGAAGAGAGGAGGAGAAGTTACAGCTTTACACGAAGGGTCTCGGGATTCTATGAGTTTAAGAAGAGCAGGAGGAAGAGATGATAAATTAGAAAGAATGGCTGCTGAGAGAAAGAGGCATAATCGTCCCATATGTATGTACTTCAACCGATGTGTGCAAGCTTCAATTCAATTAACATAATCTCATAGTGGAGCGAGCTCTCTATTTTCAGAATGCCATAAAAGAAAATGGAGTGAAGCCACTCGAGCTCGATGCGATCCATAGTCTCATAAAAACGTAATGCGGTCCCCCAAACAACCATACTTTCAACGCTTTCCGTCTAATCACAATGCATCCAGTTTCGTACACCAAAACGATGAAGAGCTCAATGCTATAAAGAAAGAGCGTCGTCCTGGACGTCCTGCGAGTACAAGGGAGGACCTCTTGAAAATCAAAATCGCAGCGGACGAGAAGGAATATGAAAATGGATTCTGTTCGTCAATACTCTACCTGAGGAACTTTGAAGTCAACGACTAACAATGTACAGATCTACCAGACCTCACTGATTCGGATAATGTGATGGCTTTTGCGCTATGGGAAAAAAATACATGGTCATATCTTAACACCTTGAAATGGGTGCGCTTGTCGAGCAGTGGACATATTCAAGAGACTAAATTCCCACCCAAAGGATCTTCATGATTGACTTAAGTAGAACTGGCGGCGTTAGTGGAGTTTATATCAATACCCAAAATTGCGGGAGCAAATTGCGGATGATATGGTTCGGACGATATTGTTGTTATTTGTGCCATGGGGTTTGCATGTTTGAAACTTTGAATAGAGTTGAGACATTCAACAAATCTACAAATAATAAACTTGGAATAATAAACCACTTTTCGAGTACATAAGGAGTAGTAACTAATACCTGAAAAGCCAATCGAATTAATTCTCAGTTTGAAAATACCTTTGTGAAAACAGCCTATGAAATCATCTCAATTTTATAAGATCCACCTTTTTTTCCGTGCTCAAAAAAAGTCCCTCAGAGGCGAGCTCAAGAGATCAAACTGTAAAATCTTCCACATCACAATTTTATACCACATCAACCCCAAAAACTCAATTCGAAACCAAAGCATAAACAAATTCATCATGCTTTCCCTCCGTACTCTCACCCGCTCAGCACCACGAGTTGCCCGCGGTCTCACCAACACCGCCATCAAGACCGCAACCCGTCCCTCCCTCCTCCAAACCGCTTTCCCTGCCTCAAGACTCCAATGCGCATCTGCATTTTCCACTTCGAGCATCAGAGCCAAGTCTGCTGCTCCAGAAAGCGATGCCGAGCTAGTCGAGAAGCTCGCGAGCGAGATCCAAATGGAGGAGGAGATGAAAGAGCATGAGGAACTTCCTACAAGTGTGAAGGATTACATGGAGAATGGTCCTTTTAAGATTCTGGATACACCGGGGCAGGAAGAGGTTGTTTTGACTAGAAGCTTTGGTGATGAGAAGTAGGTTTTTTCTTTTCTTTTTCTTTTGAATTACTCTCTTCTATCTACCCTATTTCATTTTTTTCTTTAAATCTTCTTCTGCTTCTTCTTCCCCTCCTCACAACCCTCAAAAAACAAAGAATCCCCAAAACTAACCTCCACCCCACCCACAGAATCCGCGTCTCCTTCTCCATCGCCGACCTCAACGCCTACGACCCCGAAGCAGACGAATTCCAAGACCGCGCCATGTCCGACGAAGACCCCAACATCGACCCCGCGGACTCCTCCGAGCTGAACCCTGAAGACCCCTCCGACGCCGAAGGCGAGTCCCACGGCTTCCCCGCCCGCGTCAACATCATTGTCGAGAAGAAGGGCAAGGGTGCGCTCGCCATTGAAACCGTCGCAGAGGATGGCATGATCGTCATCGATAGCGTGTACTACTATGCGGATGCCGCGCACGCCTATGCAAAGACTACCGAGGCGGTCCACCAACGTCAAGACATGTATGTTGGACCTCCTTACGGAAACTTAGATGAGGATTTACAGGTGTTGATGGAGAGATATTTGGATGAGCGAGGAATCAACCAGGCATTGGCGATTTTCGTGCCCGATTATATTGACATGAAGGAGCAGAAGGAGTACTTGAGATGGTTGAAGAATGTTAAGGGATTTGTTGAGGCTTAAGTGTCATCCATTGATGCTCAGAATCACTGATACTTAACCATTCCCTCCCCCCCCCCGGTACGAAAAAAAAGCGTTTCTGTTTTGACTTTCCCTTCAATGTTGTTTTCATACCCTTTCCACTCCGCTGGCACCATCTACCTATAAGCTAGGTACACCTGTATATTATCAGATAGCAAGACTGTCTACACTACGTACGATATGACAGATACGAATGCTATGTAATGAATCTCAAGAGAGACACTTGATGATTATGACTTTTTCTTTGCTTGATGCGTGAAATGTGATTGTGCTGTTTGGATTTCATTGCTTCGTTAGATGTACCAGTGCTGTGCTTCTCATAGACTCTCTATGCTCTATTTCAAGTGCTATTTAAGCTGGGAAACTTTCTCAAGCTTAAAATGAGTGAAGCATACAAGTAGTATGACAAGTATCAGCATCAGCAAGCACCAGGTGTAGACGTCATGAATCATGCGATGTAGTAGAAAGATACAATTTTTTATGCTTTTTATATTCGAAATACAATGTAACATCGCTAATTCTCAATTCATTGATTCGCCATATCTCATTTGATCCCGTCCTCAAAATCAGACTTTATTTCTGGTCTTGTTCTCATTCTCAATCTCAATCTGAATCTCAATTTTGGGGTTCTTATTTTTATCTGCTCGATGGTGACCTAGCTCAATCACCTACGCCCTGCCTATCCGATCATACACCACCCACCCCTATGTACTCCCCGAATCCATTGCAAGCAAGTAAGCGACCAGCAACCAACCAAACCAAATTCCTACCAGTGCAAACCAATTCCTTTCCATTCGATATCCACCAAAGCATAGATAGTTCGCCCGGCCGACTTGCGGAAAGACAAGGCAAGCAAGAGGAGCAAAACACAAATATGATAACCCCATCACGCCATGATTGATAGAGTGGACGAAGACAGATAGCTAAAGTAGAAGAGAAATTATGCACCGTGTTCTTGTACCTATTCTTCCCGTGTCGTAAGAAGGCATTCAGGTCGAGAAAATCGCAATAGGTGCTTGGAAAATAAAGAAAACATCCGGTGTCAAGGAGACTGAGACAAGCCAGTACGAACGCCCGATGATGCAGAGAGAAGCTTTGATCACTGTACAAAAAGACATTTAAGGTCTGGGAACTGGTAGAGGGGAACCTTGAGGACCATCGCTCAAAGATGGTTGGTATAACAAAATCTTCTGGCATATTTGATACGGGTATTGCTCTCGCTCCTTGGTCTTTGAAAATTCTTGATCATCTACCAAGACTGAGTCAAAATTGGCGAAGAAGCGACCGAAGACTGAACAATATGCGATCTAGAAGTTTGTACTCCAAGACCACGAACCATTGGCAAGATTTTCGGCCGTATCTGCAAGCAGGATGACCCGACGTTTATTGCAATAGGATGTCTTGTCCATAATTTCAACCTTTAACTTTTGAACTGCAAGTTCCTGAACCGGTTTCTCAAACATCTCTGACAAATTTTCGACGGCCATCTCGAGATCTCTTTGGTTATTTTCGAACAGCTCTGTAAGATTGTTACGTTGGAGATAGAAGGCAAATGCATACGTCCATTTAAGAGTTTGACGGCAAGTTTGTAAGGATTGACTAGCCGAGTTAAGGTACTGAACTTCGATCCAAGATAATCCCGAGGCAGATTGAAGTTGAATCATCTTCTTCTCAGTCTTATGGTAAATATCCTTGTCCAACTTCGCCGACTGTTCATGATTTGCATATCGATTGTAGTAATGCAAATAACGTTCTAGGGACTTTCGAGAGTTGGCCTGAGCATCTCTAGCTTCGGAGCCACTCTTCTCTTCAAATCTATTGCAATTGTACCAGCTTGTACCATGCTCCGACCATAGTCCCATGCACATCCAACAAAACTCGTGTTTGCACTTCCGACATGTCATATGGTTGCAACCTCCGTTCTTCTCGATAGTAGAATTACATTCTGGACATTCTTTTGTGTTGGCAGAAATCCAGTTGGCAGTTTCTGAATCATCCGCGCACTTCTTCAACCATTTCTTAACAAGTGTACAAGGTGCAGGTTGATGGTCTGCTAAGATACAACCAAAACAGAAACGATGTTTGCAATCACATACGACTGTTGGTACAACCTTATCGAGATCTTTCTTCTTGATGCCGCATTCGATAGCATTTTGACAATCTGGAGCGGGACACCATTTCAAGAATTCTTTATCCTCAACGTATGTTCTGGTAAGGAGTTCGTGATATCGTGATTTCAAATCTGCAGCGACAAGGAGATCTAGAGAGTGGCTGTCCATGATTCTTCGGCATCCATCATGTGGACACTGGATACGAGCTGCCTCTCCCTCCTCCTTGATCTTTTGAATCAGGTATTGATTGTAGCAGTTGACGCAGTATCTGTGCCCACATTTCATGGCAAATGATTGTAAGCCAGGTTCGTCCTCACAGCAGATATCGCAAACAAAATCCGGTATAACCTCAAGCTTGGGTGGCCCAGATTTACTCGACACCATACCAGCATCGTCAAGAACTTTTTTCGGGCGATCCATGTAATCTTCAATCAAACGTTCCTTGTTCCATCTGAAATGCCTCAAGAGAATAGCTGCGTCTTCCTTTCGAATGTCGAGTATCATGTTGACTTCGTTTATAAGTTCGTCCTGCTGACCTTGCACATCCTGGGGATGATGAACCTTGTAGTTAATGTCGAACGTCGCCTTCTTCTTCTGCGAATTGTCATCTTTGAAACTGATGTCTGGTGCTGATTCTTCAAAACCGAACTCTAGATAGTATTAAAGGTATCAGTAATTGCATCAAGGTGGGAGAAATGCTTATGAAGGTTTTAAGGAAATATACCATTACCATCTTCAGACTCCTCCTCATTCTCACTCTCACCCATAACGTCATCTTCACTGGATGCACCAGACATGAAATCGTCCTCGGAATCCATACTGATACTGTTGCTGTTGGTTTGTGGAGAGGGAGGTGTTATAGGTTTTGCAGAAGAAGCTACCGTTGCTGCTGCTGAGGCGATCCGTTTGTTGGCTCGAGTCTCGTCCTTGTCGTCGTATGATATCGCCTCAGCCGCCTTTCTCTTTTTAGATTGGGAAGAAATGGTGACTGTGAATGGGTCCTTGGCTCGTCAAAGCCGACGAGATCCTAGGCACACAAGGCTACCGAAGAAAAGTGATCTCGGTGTGAATGACCCTCAAAAGCAAGCAACGAGTCAGGAGTGGCGTGTGATTGTTGGTGTATGTAACCTGATGATTCAAGTGAGAGATGTTGAAGGATTCGCTGAGACCTTCTCACGTTGTTTGGTGGAAGGAGGAAGAGGTGTTGTGAATCAAAGTAGAGATGACCTGAACAAGTGAGAAGAATTAGGTTGGTAAGAAAGTGTCTAATAAAAGTGTAGGTTACAATAAACTTTTAGACTTAATAAACCTTGGAAGATCGGGAACAAACTAATAAATAGTATGGAATAAGTTTGATTTGGGGTCGTAGTGGCTCTGCTTTATTATTTGTCTGACTAAGGGTTATAAATCCATGTTACCAGTGCTGCGCGTACTGCCACTGATTATTTATTACTGTCTCTTGAAATGGATCTTGGATCTTGGCTATTGAAGTTCAGTTGTTGGTCGTTATCTAATCAAGACCTAGTAGGTGACGGAAGGCAAGGCGAGGCACGGCAAGGCAACTACGGCGAGGCGCTTATCCCGTTTACCATTAGCGTATTTTGAGAGCGGACTCGGCGCCCGATATTAAGCGATTGAGTGATATCTCGACTCGTTTCGTACGGAGTATCCTTACAGTTCCTTTCAAATCCTTCTCCAAGTAAAGATTGCTTCTTAGGAACTCAGATATCCATTTCAATACTCCTGAGCAGCACTGTGGTGAAAGGAATAGCCTGCAATATAGCAGTTACGAATGTCCATACCTCTCAAGGGATAGCCAATAATTATGAGCCGAGCAATCCTCCGTCGGGTCCTCACATCTCAAAGGTGTCCATCGTTTGATTCGTCATACCTAAGTTTTCGTTCAAATGTTATGGTGAACCATATTGTATCCTCAGTTTTCTATGCACATATCTGGTTTGAACATTGGGGAAATCGGGCATCGGATTTCAAATTGCCATGGTAGGTCGAAGGATACAACTAGCCCAGTGGTTTGACCAATGAATGCCATTCAATATACGTCATCTAGGTCCATCTATATCAGAACACCTCAACTTCAGTACAAGTATGAGTACAAAGGACTAGACTTAAGTTCATTCTCTATTGTCTCGATCCCTTTACTTTTTTCTTTGTTTCTTTCTTGCTGTCATTCTCGTCTCTCCATTACTACGCAATTCTTTACCATGGCCTCTGAGCATCAAATCCCCATCCTGATCATAGGCGGTGGCATTGTAGGTCTATCGGCTTCTCTCTTCCTCTCCCAACACGGAATACAATCTCTCCTCGTCAAGCGTCACTCAGGAACATCCGTACACCCACGAGCTCGATCCGTTAATGCTCGAACCATGGAATCATTCCGCGGTCTCGGGATAGACGATCTTTTCGAGAAGCCGGTGTCTCAATGAAAGCAACTATGGGTATTCACAAAGGAAAATCGCTCAAGGAAGTGATAGAAGCTAAGAAACCAACCGATGGTCCCGGGAAGTTTCCTTGAGCTAGTTTGATGGATCCGATTAGTCCGGTGCAAGGAACGTTTGTAACGCAGGATATGCTTGAGCCAGTTTTGGTGGATGTGGCAAGGAAATGAGGGGGTGATTTGAGATTCTATACGGAATGTGTTGTTATTCACCAGGACAGTGATAGTGTTACGGCCACACTCGAAGACCGAGAAACTGGCGCTGTCTACTCGGTTTGTGCAGAGTACCTTATTGCCGCCGATGGAGCAGGAAGACCTATCCGAAATCGATTTAATGTCCCAACATCTGGACAAGGTACGATGGGGTGTTTACTCAACATGCTTTTTCACGCCGGTCTCAAATCCCTAGTACACAAACGAGAATTTTCCATCTGTCTGATCGAACGTTCAGAGATCAAGGTGGCATTCACATCCATCAATAATGACGACTGTTGGGTGTTCCATCTCGCTTATGACCCCTCCAAAGGCGAGTAAGCTTCAGATTTCACTCCAGAGAAATGTATAGATTTATTACGCATTGCAACAGGAATACCCGATCTTGAAATAGATATCAAAAGCATACTTCCTTGGGAACCATCTGTACGAGTAGCAGATCAACTACAACATGGAAATATCTTTCTCGCTGGTGATGCTGCTCATCAGATGCCTTATAGGGAGGTCAGGGTGCAAACTCTGGTATTACAGACGTTCATAATCTTGCTTGGAAACTCGCACTGGTACTTCAAGAAAAAGCAAGCAAGAAATTATTAGAAACATACAATGCAGAACGTCAACCCGTAGGCAAAACAGCAGCAGAGGTATTAGCAAGTGGTAGCGATAAAAGGGGAATGATCTCGATAAACTTCTGGGATCTAGCTGTTATAGTGGGGATTCATAGGAGGATAGATTAATATCTGGACACGGATATACTTATGTTAGTAATGCAATATGCGCAGAGCATATATCTCCTCTTGGTGGTCTGATGTGGAAACCGTGAACATTAGCTAGTCTGTTCTTTTTACTCAATGGTAGACCTGGTAGTAGACTTACACATCTATGGACGCTGCATAAAGAAAAACGCATCTCGACTCTTGATCTAGGCGGGAAAAATTCATCTTGATAACTGGAGCAAAAGGAGAAGCATGGATCGAAGCTGCGATATTAATATCGAAAACTCTAGCTATCGACATATCCGCATACAGTACAGGACCAAACGGCAATCTCGTCACTGAAACCAACATATTCGAAACCACAACAGGTATATCATCGCAAGGTGCGATATTAGTACGACCAGATGGATTTATAGCATGGAGAGCCAGGAGACAAGAGTCTGGTGCGGAGACGCCACGGGTTCAGCTTGGGCTGGCGATGAGAAGGGTGCTTTGTTTGTTGTGATTTATATGTGGGTTTTGAAGATGGGGGATTAATGATGTGAAAATTGAGGAGTCGAGGGATGGGTTTGCTGCATGGGATGGCGGGTAGATGTAGATGTAAATCATCTGATTGGGATTTACAAATCTCCTCTTAATCGTTGTCGAAATATCATACTTCTTCTTATCTTAAACTTGAATCTTCGATTTTACGTGTGTACATGTACATCGACATACTGTATATCACCGAGTTTCAAATCACCAATCTTTATTGTAATGTACGATAGTCTTACTCTAACATATAAGATAAGTCAAAACCCCCCCATGAAAGAATCCCAACAAATATCAATGTGAAAGCTAGCAGGAATCTGGAAGCTAACAGATTTATCTATACATCCTCTCAATCGTATATTCTATTTACTTCCATACTTCCGTAGTTGTTTCGATACTTAGATTCTCATTATCCAGTAGCTTAGTAGTAGCCAAGCCACTGATATATTGAAGTCGATCTTCATTCACAATCACAATCACAATCACAATCAAAGCTAATATTAATATTATTTAGATTCTCTTGTACACTTCATACTCATGTGAAAGCTATCATAGGGAGCAGTACATGTCATATGAGAGATAGACTTAGAATCTTGGGATCGTATCTTTCCACCGTTCTGGCATGGTCTCGAGACTATAGCTTGTATGTATCATAAAACACGTTATATTATCTATCCCTAAAACTATATAATAATGCCATGAAATTTTTCATTTCTCAAATTCCAATATCCCTCAAATCGTTATTCAAGATTCTCGGTCCTACTCAAAATCCACACGTATATAGTATATACAAATAAATTATACATTTCTTATTTCCTAATTCATATCTCATACATCATATCATATACCTCAAGCAAAACCAACCCAACCATTCCACCACAGACTAAAACTACGACTCAGCAGCCAAGCCCTTTTTGATATCAATCACACTAACAGTAACCTTATTCGTCGTGCTAGGTGGCAAGATTCCACCTCCAGCAATCAAAAGATGATTTTTATTACTATCCAACACTCTCAAATGGCGAGTGTAACTTGTTCCCTCTGGGGTTGCCACGGTTCTCCATGCATCTGCAGCTCCGAGTGCTCTGTTGACGAAAACTTCCGAACGGCCTCCAGAACTGACAATGATAGTACCGTTTGCACCACCGATTGGTGACCACACATTATATGGGGAGCCGGTGGGTTGAATACCGTTGTTTGTGATAAGAGGTGTACCAGGTGCGGAGAGGAAAGTGAGAGGAGATGATGAAATGCGGTAGTAAACGGGGAAGAGGTAGGTGGAGGTGTTGTTTACGGTTGGGCCACCGCCGTATTCGTAGGTCATGATGTATTTACCGTTGGGAAGTTTGGAGATGGTTATCATTCCTGGACGAGCGGTATAGGTTGAATAGTGAACGTCATCTACAATTGGTCCCCATGTGAGGAGGTCAGAGGAGACAGTGTGAACGAGCTTTTGGCCGTATAATGGATCACGTTGATCGGAGTAGTAGACTTTTGTTGGGTCAGTATTTATGGGATGGTATAGATTATGGGAGCACTTACGGACGATCTGTCCCTTGTATGTGAGAAGGAAAGGTTCCCAGATAGCAGGAACACCATTATCAGGAACAGCTGCACCACCATTTGCCACAGTCGATACATATTCCCAAGTATATCCGTGGTCCAAACTAGCATAGACATCAATCTGAGTCTCACTCAAGTCTGTCGGGATAGAATTTCCAGTCGCAAGAATGGTACCAGCTGGGTATTTCCCGACTTTCTCCGTCATGTAGTATAAGAATGGTTGGTATCTCAATCCCCAACCATTAACCTGATCTGTAATATTCGAAATATGTTTCCATGATTCTCCACCATCTGTACTCTTGAAGATAGGGAAGTAGACAAGAGGAGGTTCGGGACTATAGTTTTCCCATGTAGCTAAGAGTACACCGCCTGGTAACTCGACAGTCCGGGCATAGAGAACACCCGGATCAGTCCAATTAGCTCCAGGAGTGAAAATCGTGACATCAGAAAATGTGCTAAAAGGAGCAAGTGCCGGAGCCGCAAGAACCGTCTCGCACACTGCAGCGAGCAGTGCAAAAGAGAAGAACTTCATCTTGAGTAATAGAGAGGAATTTAGGATGAGAACGCAAGAAGAAACTACACAATCAACAAGAGAAAAATCGTGACTTTTATACTCCCCTCTATACCCCTGTATTCCCCAAGTTTGATTCACTTGATCATGACCAGGTACTCCGGAAAAATACCCCGCATGAGAATAGCAACCACTGGGGACATAGCTCTGCATCGTCCTCTCCAGTGTGCGGTCGGTATGGGGATATGCCCATGTTGATCTCCGCAAAAACTATAGTTGAACGCGCTGGCCATCAACACGGGACTGGTTCGCAAGAAAGGTTTCTCCAGTGCATTTGGATGCGCACCAATGGGAGAAGAGCGCTAAGTAACTACATCACCCCGTTGCCGGTAAAGAAAAAATGTACTTGGCGTCGAGGTGTAAATTGTGAGGGGAAGCTTGGGGATAAAATAGCTTGCATGCAGATGTACTGGCGGTGAAATTGTTTGTCCGAGGTCTGAAGTTCTTGGTTTCTCTTGGAGAAGGTTGGGATGGATGAAGATTGGTACTAGCTTGTGTCATATAAGAAAGCTAGCGTTGATGATACGATTATTTGGATGCTGTCGATACTAATAAATGAGTCTTGGTAATATTTATTACTCAGTCGCGTCAATTTACCAACAGTATGGATAACTTATTAACTAGTAGGTAGATTATCATGTTGTGAAGTTCGAGAGTTCCAATGACAATAAAGTTTCTGCCGGCTTCATCCCATCTCAAAAGAGGCAGGATGTGACGATCCTTAGCACGTCACCATCGCTTGCAACTTCCCTTCCAACTTTTCCCAATCCAAGCTATCAACATCTGAATACCTAACCTAATACCTTCACCATTCTAGCTCAACAACTCAATCTCATTGACTTTAGGAGATAATCTTCAAACACCAATTCATCTCTCAATCACCAATCAACAATCAACAATCAACACACCTCTACAATGGCTACCCGATTCGCGATCCGCCGTCTTGCAACCCCTCAAACTTTCCGCACTTTCTCCACCACCCGCCCAGCATTCATCAAAGTCGGCGATAAAATCCCCAATCTCGATACTTTGGTTGAGAATTCCCCCGCTAACAAGGTTAACCTGAGTGAGCTTACTACTGGTAAAGCTCTGATCATTGGTGTCCCAGCTGCTTTCAGTATGTTACTCCCCCTTTCTTGCTTTCGTTTCAATCTATAGTGAGGATTCCGAATCGGCATTTCTACTCGGATAGATTTGGAGAATTTTGATATCATATGAATTCTCAAAAGAAACATGAAGAAAGATTAATATCAAACTGACTCAAAAACAGGTCCCTCGTGCTCCAATTCTCACATTCCGGGCTACATCAATCATCCCAAGCTCAAGGAAGCAGGTGATGTGTTTGTAGTTGCTGTTAATGATCCTTTTGTGTAAGTAGGCTACTCCTATCATTCGGGGCTGTGAAATCCTACTATTTCTATTCTACTACATCTCTCGCATTTGAGAACTATGACCGAATTATCACGAGGATATCACATGAATAAATGAAATTGCTAGACCATACTAACATGAAATTTCAGTACCAAAGCATGGGGCTCAACTCTTGATCCTACCGGTGAATCAGGTGTATGTTTTATGCCCCCCTCTCCCTCTCTCTAACTCATCTACCCATCTACCCATTCCCCTCAATTCATCCCCCAGACCCCAAACCACCATTGACTCTCCCCTCTAACAGATCCGATTCCTCGGCGACCCAACCGCCTCTTTCACCTCCGCCCTCGATCTAACCTTCGACGGCACCGCCATTTTTGGTGGTCCCCGCAGTAAACGTTACGCGCTCCAAATTGAAGATGGAAAGGTTAAGGCTCTTCATGTTGAGCCTGATAACACTGGTTTAGATGGTATGCCTCCTTTCCCTTCCCTTTCTATAATCTATTGCCTTTTTCCTCTTCATTTGTGAGATTATCCATCTATTCCCGTGGTATCTCCACATATCATTCTCATCCCAATTCAAGCATCGCAGCTCAGAGAGCAGAGCCGAGCAGAGCAGAGAAAACCAAAGCACCAGAAGAAGGAAAAATCTAACACAATCCCCTCAAATAGTCAGCGCCGCCGAAAAAGTTCTCGGCTAAACACCTCCAATCAAGTCATGATCCCCAGCCACTCAAGATCCAGTTATTTATCACTCTGATCAATGGCGTATCATTCATTCATCACTTCATATGATCTGCTTCATACCCACATGTCAAATAGCTTGCGCGCGAACAGATAGATACCACGAAATGAATAATCACAAAAGTCTTTCTGCTTTATCTATCTATCATTTCCCAAACTCTGAAATACCTACCTACCTACCTACCCAGTAGCCAATACCAATAACAATGGTAACGATAATGACAATAAAATCCGAATCCCAAAGCAAAAATCCCAGCACACCCACCCAATACCCAAGGAAAAAAGAAACCTCTCGGAATGAGATACACGGTATAGTTAAACGCAATAGTATTGATCACACTCAAGGCTGAGTGCGTTTGAGATTAGGAGATCTATTGACTGTTGAAATATATCTATCTACCTACCTAGTCAGTATATACATACAATCCAAACCTCCTCCTCCTACTCCACTCCTTGCCTATTACCCATCAACTTATCAACCCATCAACCCATCAACCCATCAACCCATCAACCTCCCTACCAACCTTAACAAATACTCCATATAATCTAGATCCAAGGGGATCATCAAATTTCAATACACCAGATAGATAATTTCCCTTTCCCCTTCCCCCTTATCACCGCATCTCCTCACCTATTTATTATACCCGCCGTCCTGCCCACCCACCTACCTACAAATTCACGCCAACTACTGGGTACTCCTGCGGATGCAAGGATCTCTGTGATGATGATGATGATGATGATGATGAGTAAGTAGAACACCAAGTACTATTATATCCTTCGAAGGTTGCAAATCCCAAATCTCAAATCACAATAAAATTGACAAACTAATTTCAATAGAGCATCTCGAATACAGATTCTCCCTGAATTAACAGAGCATTGAGATTCAAAGGTTACATACAAATCGCTAAACGCTGTCTGAATTACCAGAAAGATTAAGGAGGCTCAATTTATCAAACCCCGAGCAATAAAGGTATAACCTGATTCCTGATTTTCCATTCCATCATACATGATATAAACCATACCCATGAAATCATCCCCAAAATCATCCATCTATACCCAGCAATGCTCGCTCAAAATCAACATGGTATCTCCACCTTGCGCCAAACCAAACCAGAGATCCACACCCGCACTCGTACAACCAGCATTAATAGACTGCTAGTACAAACCCAAGTCCCAACCAAGATTGACCTAAACCCAGAAAAAACCCTCCAGATCACGCCATAATATGCTCATACCCGCTGTATTCGCCAAATGAAATAAGATTCAACTCCAAATCTCATAAATGTTTACAACATTCAAAGTTCCACCTCTTCACTCTCCTCCAACGGAAACGGAGGGACAGATTTGCTCGCCGCACTCCCCAACTGAACACTCTTATCACTAGCTTCCATTTCGTACCTTTCCTCCTGGGTCGCCACAGCATCCGGATCGGCACCTCTTGCATAAGCCAACAAATCAATACTATCATCATCATCATCTTCTCCCGCGTCTTCAATATCCATAGCATCGTCATCAGATGATACTTGAATATCGTTATCTGACATTAGATCTTCGCCCTTTTCTAGAGGTTCATCTCTAATATGAGAGATTCCCATGAAAGAGGAGGAGCTATCGGAATACTCTGCTGAAGTTTCGGTGCCGGAAAGCATGTCGAAATAAGAGGATGGCTCGGGTAGGGGCGATGGGTGAAGCATGATCAATTCTTCCGAGATGTTTTCGGTCTTTATGGGTAAACTCTCATATGGTCGGTGCGGTGGAGATCCATTGGCAGGATCGGCCAAGTGAACCAATTTACTGATTATGCCATCCACCTCATCGTGAGGCTCGGGATTGTGAAATGAATCTAACGAAGACTGTGAAATTGTGTGTAGAATCTTCGAAGTTGAACGTGGAGCAGAGAATTTAGAAACCTTGAAAGGAACATGGTCATTATTCGCCGTCCATCGTGTATGTACCTTGTAAAGCAAGTGGTCGGCTGGTTGTATGCCGGCGAGCCCACTGGCAACAAATTCGACAAGGGCTGGAGGAGATTGAGGGTCGCCACAACCCATGTCGGTGGCGAATTCGAAGTCCGTATCATCGGAGAGTATACTAGGGGTTTGTGGTCTTGTTTCTGGGGCTTGAAACAGATCTCCTCCCTTAGAATAGTCCTTGAACGGTCTGAATGGTAGAAAAGAACCGGAAGGAGTCCTGTCCTTAAGGAGATGTCTTGTAGGATGTGGGCAGCCGACAGCATCTTCAGTGTGATTGCTGTAACCATCTTTGTCAACGCCAGTAATATGTAACGGGGTTTCAAGGTCGCCACGATCACCAGAAAGATCGCTGAAGAATTTCGTTCCGTTGTAGAATATCAATGGCCCATCATCGCGCGGACTGCTGCCAAGTCTCTTAATAGGGGACGCAAAGCCGGGAAGACTATAACGATTCGGTGAAATATCGCTCTCATCACCAGACACCTCGGATGTATGTTGTGGATAACAAACAAACATCGGCTCATAAAAACATGCATCCGTCGCTTTAGGATTCTTTGAGCTCTGGTTTATCATTTTCAGTGGTGCGTGTCCCGTAGGAGTGAATTTGTTCGCATGAACCTTGCGTCTTTTGCGGGAAGCTTCATCACTGCCATCACTATCGGGTGGAGATCGTTGGTGAACACTGCTATTACCGCTGTCACTGCTTAATCTTGTTCCTTGCGTACCACCTCTCCAACGCAGTTTCTTGCCATCTGGAGATATTTGAAGTTTCCTACTCAATTCGGTAACGGCAGATCTGATAAAGCCAGGTGTGACGTTGATAATGTGCAATTGTGCCATATTGATGAGAAGATTCAGATAGACCCACCCCTCGGCATCAACGGCAGCATCTTGTGATTCTTCCGTTAATAGTTGGGGTGCTGAAATTCCAAGGTGGCGAATATACTCAACGTTATCGGAACCGACTTGGTCACGGTCTGGATCCAAATCCAAGGGTCTGGTTGGCCTTTGCTGTGGTGAAGGGGATCCACGAGACTTTTGGGGAGAATTTGACGGTCCTGTTGGCGATTGGCTATTCTTTGAATTGTTTACTAACCCCTGCTTGTCTAGTTCCATATTATGTGGCCCGATGTGAGCTTCGCGTACACCTTCTCTAGGGTGGAAATGAATTTGCGAGGCTTGATCTGCTCTCGCGGCCGACCTGGACACCTCTTGCTGTTGCAAAGATTGACTGTGCGCACCGATGAGCGATCCTGTCTTTCCCGTAAATAATTGTTCTAGGCGCCGAACAACCATCCTCTTTCGCTGATTTTCGGACATCTCTAGGGATGACCTTGGTTGTAATCCCTGAGGAATGTCCTGCAAGAAATCTTGCAATTTTCGATCGGTTGTGACCCGCGATTGCGTTGGCATTTGCCCTTCCCCAGCCGAGGAGCTATGCGAGGGCCCAGATCTCGACATCGAGGCATATGCGGAGTCAGTCGGCCGGGAGTTGGACCCAGATGAAACGGATTTATGCTTTGTGGGTTTACCGGAAGGTGGATAAGCTCTTGACTGTCGACCTACTGGACCGTTGATGCTTAGATCTTCTGACGAACTCACAAAACTGGTAGAAAATGAGCGAAGAAGTTCTTCTAGCTCCCTTCGTTTACGTGCGGACAGGGCATGAATTTTGACTTCGAAGAGCTTCTCGTTCTCCAAGTGGGTAGTCGCTGAACGACCATATCTTTTTAATTTCTCCTTCAACTTCTGATTCTCGATGGTCAAATCGTCAATGATACTGCGATACTCTTCTGATGCACTGCCATCTCGAGATCTTGATATGGGGTTCAATGAGTGTAGATTGTATCGGTTACCTCGATGTGGCAATTCTTTGCTGGAATCCGTGTCTTCATTAGAGCTGTGTTGAAGAAAGTATGGCGGGTCACCTGCAGCTTTGTCAATTTACAGGAGCTGGCGGAGCTCCCTGACTAGAAACTTACTGGTCTCTCCAGAGTCCTGGTTGACAGCACTCGCAGGACGCGTATTCGAGCGATCAAACCATTCATTTACATTCGTCGCAACGGTATCCTCTGAATCGTCCGATGTTTGTTTTCTGAAAGGAGAGGTGGAGTTACTTCTTGGCTTAGTAAAATTGTCGACCTGCTTCACCACACTCAAGTTTGACTTTGCATTCTCAATAGGATTGGGCGTGTCGTGCCTCAAGGAGACGGAGAGATGTGCCGGAGGTCTTCGAGGATGAGAAGCCGTCGTAACCATGGTCGAATCTGATTCCAAATTCATAGTCGACGAGACAATTCAAAGATAATTGGTGGTACTATAATTGTAAAGAACCCATTGCAACAGGCTGTGGACAATATCACAGTCGACCTACGATTTGGATGAGATTGTATGCAATTGTTGAAGCGAGATACCCTAATGAGTCTACAGTGACGAACTTGTTGTATATAAAGAATTAGATTTGGGACTGCGTCTAAGGTATTTTTCTTTTTCTTTTCCCGATTGAATAGCTAGGTAGGTATGTATCGTATATTGTGTGTCCGAAGGAGGGGATACGATTGGAAAGCTGTCACAATCTGGGCGATGAATACTTGGGAACTTTCTGGATTCTTGATAGAAGCGAAGGCCAAGGTTGTGTGTAATTCGTGGGATGAGAAAGTGCTGGAGATTGCATATGTGTGCGCAATTTGAGTAGATATTGAAAAAGGACCTCTTCACGTCTTTACAGCGTAGGTAGTAGGTAAGGAATGATGAAAGTAACAATATTTTATTTTTTCTAAGAAAAGAAAGAAATGATAAAGGAAAGAGAATATTCATCATATTGACTGTATCTGTATCGTACCTACCTAGTTTGTTGGTATTATTGAATGTTGAACAAATTGACCTCATGTTTAGGTTATTGCTTCGCTGATGCTTTAACAAGCCACGATCCATGGAGCAACTTCCCAATTTCTGAAAGGTCGTCGAGATCTGAAAATCAATGGGTGATCTGAACTTAGATGGCCGCATCTCCATATGATTGGTTGAGAATCTTAGTAATCCGCTACCATCCGGACTCCACCAATCGAGAATCTGCGATGAATCAAGATGGGGTTTTCCAAAATACAAATCTCAAGTAGAAGGTATATGGGCCCGGTATATGTGATTCGAGCCTTCTTGGCATGTATATATATATATATGTTCATTTGTATATTTACGTCCTCGGTATTTTTATATGTAAAGACCAAACAATTAATTTACAGTACCGATTTGTTCTAACTATACATAACTATTCCAAAGTTCTGTACAATGTATAATAAAAATGCGATACTCATCAAATCCTTCAAAGAACAGGGGAGTCGGTCTGTCGGGGGCCCTGGTGAAAGTCTGGATTCTATTCTTCGATAACTAGGGCTCATTCTCGATTCAGGGACCTTTATTAGCTTCGGAGTAGCCACTTTCACACTAGCTCACTGTCGACCCAGGTAGGACATGATTGATGCTACCTGCATTCCAAATATCCAATTAACGAACTACAAACCGGAAAAACCACGAGCCATCCAGAGGTAAACCACGAGCCACAAACCACGAGCCACAAGCTATGAGTCCTACTTAATGAGGGGCGGTTATATAAGGAAGTAATATAAACCCTACTTTTATTAAAATCTTATCGTTTTTATAGAATTTATTACTGCTTCAAGCGAATTAAATAGATAATAAACTATTTTCTCTTAAAATTTATTAATTAAAACTTATACTTACTCTTTAATAATTTTAATAACTGTATAATATTTAAAATTATTAAAGCTTTTTATAGATTTAAATAGACTTATAATAAAGATTTAAATTTAGATTCTAATTAAAAGAAATAATTTTCAATAAAATGTAATTTTTTTTAAAATAAAATATGATTTTTATAATACTTCTACTAGATAGATCTTACTATATAAATTTTCTACTAGTAATATAATTTAATTCGTTTAAAGGCCTAAAGTAACAATACATTTAAATGCGTTTTATATTACTTATCCCTTCAATTACTATATTCGTTGGGAAAGGGCTGGATGGCTCAGATGTTTCACACACCAATCGTTACGAGTACCGGTAGATGTCTGAAGATAGAGATATCTGATCTCATCGAGTAGTATTCGGATATCCAGGTATCCGACCTCAGCTAAGGTACTGGTAAAGGATGAAAACACATTCAGAGATTTCAAATGTCTCCTTTCAATTCGAGAACGAAAAAGGATCCTATCGTCATGCAGCATTGAGTGATATCTAATGTCAGAAATCACCAAACGATTGACAACGTTTCCAACCTAATCTCGATTTTCCATTGGCTTTGAAACGCTCCAAGCTAATAAGCTGGATAAGCTCGTTTAACCCCTTCTTCGAATTGATTCGGTATCCGAAACGTTGAATTCGATATCATCGACGATGAATCTGAACAAACGCTCTGTCTTACCCAAAGATCTTTCTTCTCATAATCTTACTTCCCAATGAGCATGACTAATCAGAAGTTGTTTCATGCGTATCGAGTCACCTTTTTTGCATGAAGTCTAGATTGGATCACTAACCTCCTATGTCATTTAAACTTGGGTGGCAACAATTTATATTGAAAGATCAACATGTCAAAATCTCCGGATACCATTCAGCAGCATTTTAGATATTGCTCTAGCACACCGGGCACGCACTAAAATCGTCTAGAGTCGATCTGTACATGGGATCAACAAAGATGCGTCCTACCAGGTTGTTGTCGGTACGGAAAATAAAGACAAATACCCTTTCTAGACACGAAACTTCCGGTTCGGTCAATTTGCCTTTCAATATCTGTCCCGAAAAGAAAATGATAAGCTTACCTAGGTGCAACTTTATGGGTCTCACAATTGGGTAGACATTCAACCATGGATAATGAATGAGCTCAGAGTTTACGTCCTGATCAACCCAATTCCTCGCCTATTTCATCAGCAAAAAAGGGATCGAGATTTCTGAACCCTCATCACAACGGTTCGACCCCTCTCCGACATGACATGATCTACCGGCTCTTGAACGCCCCATTCATGTGATTACACAAAATTGCTTCTCCTTCAATCTTACTCCGTATGACAAAATCACCCCGCAAAAGATAAAGGTCCAGGAAGATATCAACCATTCACGCCTGTACCGAGTGTCTCATCATACCAAACTCTTGCCCATCTTCACAATCTCCAATACCAATCCATCATCTAGAGGTGCATCGGATCTTTCCAATGCCTCGTACCCCATCTTCTCATAGAATGCAACTCCACTCAAGGTTGAGCCGATTTCAGCCTTCGTAAAGCCTGCTTCTATCGCAGCATTCTCACAAGCTCGAATGATCATACCAGCAATACCTCTTCGTGTCCAATCAGGATGAACAAAGAAAGCACGAATTCTGGCACCATCTACATCAGGATCCAAGAGTTTCGAATCTCGAGTTGCAAATTGATCACCTCCATATAACGTGGACCTATAAGATATACCACCACTTCCCACTATCGTATCTCCAGATGTCACTACAAAGTAATTCCCATCCTGGATGAGTTGGGTATCAACACCGTATACTGATTTGAGAGCACCGGCTATTTGGGCTGGCGTATAGTGTTCGACTTGGAGACCTCGGACCGACGCATCAATCAGCGGATGAAGTTGCGGGATGTCATTCACGGTAGCTCGGCGAAGTTGGAGTTCCATGGCGAAATTGGTATGTTATCCTTCCCCGAGTACGACAATTTGTATTTTCTCGTCTGTCTCCGATGGAAATATTTTGATTGAACCTCTGTGAATCTCTGAACAACGAACATATATCTGCCCACTTTTGGAGCTATTATCGGCCGGCAAATTATCGGGGGGGGGGGGGGGGGGGGGTGAAACTGCACAGAAGTGAATCCGTAAATAGATAAGATACCTGGGGATTTTTATCACCAATTCATGATTGATATCACGATGAGGTTGCAGTACATCTAGGCACCAGTCAAATGGTACCGAAATCGCAAGACCTCATGATTTGATGATCTGGCTGTAACACTGCAGCATGATTGGGATATGGATATGGGAAAATGGAAAGTTATGCCGGTAGGTGATACGATCAATACAGGTGGAAGTCATCTACGATGATTTCTCTCTAAGCTTGTGAGAAGCATTGGATGCGAGTACGTTATGAGAGGAATCCACGACGACCCTGCGTCTTGTGACGATTTCGTTCTCGTTTTCGTTTGAACATTGATAAATATTGAATGAAGGCCATTGTTTAGGGAACTCACGCGATGGGTACCTAGGTATGTACTGGTGAATTCAAAGACTGTCTTGTGAGGTCTAGATTGAAGGTTCAATCAATACATGAAATATACAAAGTACTGGTACTCTCTGCCAAGCTTCAAATACCAATGTACCTCGTAAGTACCTCGTAAGTACCTACGGATGATATCAATATGAGATGATGTTCGCATGGATGAAGTTTTCCCAATAGATGTTTTATTCCTTTCTAGCTTTGGTTCGTTATTTCATCTTGCTAGCCAATCATAAGGGTTTTATTGAGACTGCTAGGTAATATCATCAATGATTACAGTAAACAATGTATCAGAATCGTAATAATGTTTCTTCAGTAATAATGGGTTAAATTGGATTACATCCTGGTGGTCGTGTATGCTTCCTTCAGCCTTCTTTTCTTCACTGCGGGGTCATATTGTATTGTATTGTATTGTATGGCTGACCTCGTCAGGTTTTATAGGAACATTTTTAGTAGCAGAGTACTGTTTAATCACATCGACAAACACATACCGGTATTACATTCCAACCACCTTGGTATATTCTTCACACTCGGGATCCACTTCGAACTATCTAGTAATCTCTCGAATGCCTTCTCGGTGACTTTCAACATGGGGTGGAGGAAAACCTCCTAAAACTCTCCGCCGATGAGGTAATTGTGGTTAATTGGATCATTGATGCCCACCCACCACCTGCGAATATTCCATGTTCCTGTTGGCGGGGAACGAAAAAAGACAAAAGAGAGAGATCACAAAACTTTTATAAGACTAATACTATTCCTGGATGAAAAGATAATTTCTCTCGTCTTCTTTTCAATCCCTTTCGGAGAAATTCACCCCTTGGAAAAGTTCGTGTAATCGCTATTGAAGACATCTTTGTCCTTTGTCTTTTCTTCTCTGAAGCTGCCCACCTACCTAACTAACTGACGGGTTCCAAGTTTATTTATATTTTAACCTTGGAAATCATTCACTCCCAAGCTCAAGCTTGCCAACGAACAAGAAAACCACTCACACCTTGGGAAATTTATCCAACTCATACTACCTATTTAGCCTTACCGGGAACACCCGTTTATCGCTTGTAAAGCTTCCCATTATCTACTTCTTGGACAGCTTCCTCGAAAGATTTCAAGAGGACCCCGACAAGATCTATCTCAACTCAAAATCCGAACTATTTGATCTAGCCCAGCTCTGCTTCTAGTTGTGCCATCAGCCGCACATTGCACCAACGACCATAAAACGAAAATATCTACAACATGCCTTCCATAGTTGGCGAGGAGCCCAAAGCTTCTAGCAGATTACTTCTGGTATCCAACAGACTACCCATCACAATCAAACGAACTGAGGATGGTCAATATGAATTCACTGGTTCCTCGGGTGGTTTGGTCACGGGTTTGAGTGGCTTAGCAAAGACGACTACATTTCAGTGGTATGGATGGCCAGGTTTGGAAGTGCCAGATGCTGAAGCAAAGCCTCTGGTTAAGAGATTGAAGGACGAACATGGTGCTCATCCAGTTTTCGTCGATGATGAATTGGCCGACAAGCATTACAATGGTTTCTCTAGTATGTATTTTCCACCAACTCTGCCCGGTTACATCTGGCATTACATCTGCAGGTACTAACAGCATTCGTAGATTCTATCCTTTGGCCTCTATTTCATTACCACCCAGGAGAGATTACATTCGACGAGTCGCAATGGATGGCATACAAGGAGGTCAACAGGTTATTCGCGAAAACGATTGCTAAGGATGTACAAGATGGTGATTTGATTTGGGTCCACGATTATCATCTCATGCTTCTTCCAGAGATGCTGCGCGATGAAATCGGCACGAGCAAGAAGAATGTCAAGATTGGATTCTTCCTTCATACACCTTTCCCTTCCAGTGAGATTTACAGAATCTTACCTGTCAGAGAATCTTTGTTGTTGAGTGTACTTCATTGCGATTTGATCGGTTTCCATACATATGATTATGCTAGGCATTTCCTCAGCAGTTGCTCCAGAATTTTGTAAGTATGAATCCTGCTCCTCATGAAGTCTAACTAACAATATATAGGGAAACACAAACAACACCTAATGGTGTCGAATTCCGTGGTAAATATGTCACAGTAGCTGCTTTCCCCATCGGTATCGACCCTGAAAAGTTCATTGAGACACTCAAAAAGCCAAAGGTCGAAGAGCGCATTGCTCAACTAGAGCGCAAATTCGAAGGTGTTAAACTCATCGTCGGAGTGGACAGATTAGATTACATCAAAGGTGTCCCACAAAAATTGCACGCCCTTGAAGTCTTCCTCACAGAACATCCCGAATGGATCGGCAAGGTAGTCCTCGTCCAAGTCGCTGTTCCTTCTCGTCAAGATGTCGAAGAATATCAAAATCTCCGTGCCGTCGTCAACGAACTTGTCGGCCGCATCAACGGTCGCTTTGGTACCGTTGAATTCATGCCCATTCATTTCCTCCATCAATCTGTCAATTTCGATGAACTCACCGCTCTTTACGCCGTTTCAGACGCCTGTCTCGTTTCCAGTACGCGTGATGGCATGAATCTAGTCTCCTACGAATACATTGCCACACAACGTAAACGTCATGGTGTAATGATTCTCTCTGAATTCACAGGCGCGGCTCAATCTCTCAATGGTGCTCTCATTGTTAATCCATGGAATACGGAAGAACTGGCAGATGCTATCCATGATGCTGTCACAATGTCTCCAGAACAGAGAGAAATTAACTTCAAGAAATTGGAAAAATATGTATTCAAATACACGAGTGCATGGTGGGGAGAAAGTTTCGTAAGCGAGTTGCAGAGAATTAGTGAACACGCGGCGAAAAAATCAAACAATAAGGGGACGGTAGACAAGATGCCAGACTTGGTAGAGGGGGTTCAACAATTCAATCTTGGGGAACAGAGAGAGGAGGGGAGATTGGAACCGGGTGAATTCGATGATTAGATTTAGGGTTTGGGATAGACTGGAATGGGAGTACTGCGAGAGAGGACAGAAAAGAAGAGAAGAAGATTTTTTGATGGGACCGCACATACTTTCCTTGATAGCATTGATGGATGGACGGGATGGACGGATGGACGAATGGCGTTATTGCTGATTGTTTGCTTGCTTGCTTATGAATGATGACTTGACTTATACTTTAAGTCGAATGAATCGAATCGAATTGAATTTGATTTGGAACATGTATGGATGGATTGACGGATGGATGGGTGTGCTGGGAATCTAAGAAAATGGGAAATGAATACAAACGTATTTACAGCATACATACATGCATAGATAGATAAATGAAAGAGAGAGAGAAAAACGATGAATTGAAAAGAGATCATATTATACTCACCGTTGGTTAAGAATATCTATGTCAAAATCTACATCTCAAAATCTATATATTAAAATCTATATATCAAATCTATATATCAAATCTATATTTCAAATCTATATATCAAATCTGTATATTCAAATCTATATTTCAAATCTATATTTCAAATCTACAAATTAAAATCACATAAAGAGCCTAAAAGAAGAATAGCAAACAAAATAAAACAATAAAGGAATTTTTCATTTTTCATTTTTCATTTTTCATTTTAAAAAATTGAAATGAATCATCCGACTAAATCAACTCAACTCAACCTATGTCTCTCGCGGGCATCTCTCGCGAACCTAGATAATCGAAAGGAAATCAGGAAGGCAAGAAGGAAGGAAAGAAAGTCTCCACGTTTAAAATTAAGATTTTCACTCCATTCACCTATCAATCCATCAATCCATCCATTCATCAATGTATACATCATCTGATTCCTCTTACATTCATCTCTCACTCCTTAATCATCATTTTTCTCTCGCACGCAGCATTCTCTTTCCCTCTTCCCATCCACCCGTTCATGCAATCACACCGTCCTAAATCACTTTTTCCCAACCCCCCACCTCACCCCCCCCCCCTCCCTAGACTCGAAACCTAAGAACTAACCTTCTCCCTCATCATCCCCATCCACTGCTGAAAGCTCATACCCTGATCCGCCCTATCCTCGACCAACAGGGTCTGGGCCCACAACTTCAACGACGGTTCTCCATCTTCTCGCACCACATACAAATGCGGCACGACAATACTACCGACACCTCTACTCCTATAATCTCTTGCTTTCTGGAACACATTTCTCACTCTCTCACTGAAGTCATTATCCAATTCCGGTAGTGTCGCTTTTCCAACCTTTAGTTTCGAGCGATCCGAAATATCAAAAACGTCAGCTAACAATTGAGGAACGGCGTCGCGGCCGACCCAGAGGAATTGTGTTTGGCCGTCATCAATAAGATAGAGACCGAATGGGACGAGACGTTCTGATGAAAGGTTCATTGGTGGAGGAAGGACGATTTGATTTGTTTCCGGGTCGGGGATACCAGCGTTGTCGGGCATATCATGTAATGAGTACAGACGTGGATAGATGTATTGCATCAAGAGTGGAAGAGGAAGAGTGGACAATTGGCAAAGAGCCGCAGATCTCAAATCCGAAGGAATTTGAGCTGATTTTCGAAGTCCAACATTCTTGATGAGACCAAGAAAAAGGACTGGCAATCCACGAAGGTTGGCAGGGAATTGAAGTCCACCACCACCCATATTTCCACCTGCAAGTTCTTTCTTGAATGTTTGAAGAAGCTCAATCAATTTCGATTGGAGAGCTTCGCGTGCAGGCTCAAGTCCACCACTCAATGCACGCTCAACAGCCTTGTGACTGAAGTAAGTAGTAATTGCGCATTGATCGGCAGATGCATATACGTCTTGAAGATTAGTTGTTGTAGGTAATGACAAAGTCATAACTCTAATACGACGCTCTCCGTTACTTGTGGTGTGCAAGACGGCCGTTTGCATGCAAACAAAGTTCTTGGTGAGAGACTCGTCGATAGCAACTTCGACAACATAGCTTTGATCACGAGGGAAAGCTGGGAAGGCGCAGAGATCCGAACTTCGGTTGAAGAAATTGCCATAGAAAGTGCTCATCCGGAGACCAGTAGTAGCACGGACACGTAACACTGCCTCAAGACCAATCTCAGCAGATAGGTAATCACTGAATTCGGTAGCGAATTTGATAGCGTCTTCGCTTCTTCCAGCATTCCATCCAGGGTAGAAATAGGTTTGTCCACCGGTATATCTTGGAAGGTTGCTAAGAGAAGCTACATCCTGATATTGCGATGAGAACAAGAACATATCGATAGAAACTTGATTCTTCGAACATTCGACCGCAAAACTCTTGTAGAAACTGTTGGCTGTTTGTAATAGACCACTCTCCTTCGAGGTACCCAGTAGCTTTTTATCCTCACGCATTTCTAATTTGCCGAATCCAACATTAGGTAATGAAGCAGTGATTACAACAATCTTTCCACCGAGAGGGGAGATGAGTTTGTGGCCAGCACGAAGAGCTGATCCCATACATGATCCATTGTTTGTATTGGTCTGGAACATTTGAGGAAGAGTCATGAGGAATTTCTCTACATTCAATCTGCATTCAGACAATGGTACCAATAGCTCTTGAGGAACTGGAAGGAAAGGCTCGTCCAGATCACTAACAACGAGCATATTTGTCTCGCCATTCTCTTCCGTATCTTTTGGAACTTGGAAGTAATGTAAACTGGAGTCTACAGCCATAAATCCAACTCGTGTTCTTCGATCCGCATTTGGTATCCTGTTAAGACTGTCGAGAATAGTTCTTGCACTAGTAGCCGACAAGCCACAAGATACAGAAGCGAAGCTGACGTCGAACAAGAAGAGGTAGACAAGTGGTTGTGGAGGTCTGACCATATATTCCTGTGGTGCGACAAATTCCACAACTGCGTGATTAAGTTCCGGTCGTTGCCATCGATCAACACTTTGTTGTGCAGCTGCATCCCAGTCGAAAGCTTGTGGAACATCGTTTGTGAGGTTACACATATTACACCTCCATCTGTGGCCATGGTCAAGGAATGAAACATATGGGTTGATGTATGAACGACATCTTCTACAACGTGAAATGACTTGATCTTGAACAACTGGTACTGGATCGTCGACATCGTGCAATGAAGTATATGGCTGTATAACTAATGCGAAAGGAAGTTTTGATTTCTTGAGGAGAGAATTGGTTGTAGGAACCGCATTCAAAGTGGATCTAACATATTTTGGTGGACAATTCGCATTTGGGGAAGGGGTAACACTGGACTATTTAAGCATTAGCATAGAATTCCATAAAACAAACATTCAATCTTACATTTGCAGGCAAGATAATTGGAGGAGGAGGCAGGTCCAACTCTGCGACATTGAAAGGTTGGTTGGTGAGATCTGTAGGATAAAGCTGATTCAACGCAACCTGGCCTGGAGCACCACCAGGACGAGCTTGAGCCGCAATAGGTTGTTGCGGTCCACCCATTCCCATCTGCCCCATTCCTTGAGTAATTCCCGCTACACCAGGAGTAACGGGTGTGCCTGGGCCAGGATATCCGGCATCAGGAGGTTGATAACCCCCCACACCGCCGCCATATTGTGGTTGAGAGAAACCGCCTTGAGGAGCGCCGACCATGCCAGGTTGTGGAGCTCCATATGCAGCAGCGGGATCTGGTTGGGCTTGATATCCGCCATATGCAGCAGGTGCTTGTGCGGGTTGAAATTGAGCACCGCCATGTGTTTGTCCTCCTAAGGCTGAATTCGCACCTTGGCCAAAATCATAAGCTTGTGTCGCATACCCCCTCTTCTTCTTCTTTCCGGCATCTGCTCCTGGCGGTCCAGCTTGTTGTGTGGGAGAAGTCATTGGTTGTTCGTAGCCTGGTTGCGTGGGACTTTGCTGTGCGTATGGATCCTGAGGGGGATAAGCTTGGCCCGGATATCCATCTTGTGGTGCCGCCATATTTGCTATCGTTTTAATTCTCTGGGGCAGCGTTTCCGAGATTTAAAATGTGGTGTCGTGGCGCAAGAAAATTGGTAGTCGCCCTTGGAAAGCTTGATGTTGTCCTGTTCGAGGGGTAGGTCGAGTATGGAAAGTGTCAAGTCAATACCCAAGCTTAGAATTCTTGGATAGATGATCTGCGATAGTTGATAGTCTCAAGGAACACGTTGCTAAGAAAGAGCTTCCTAGTTAGATGAGATCCGAACAGATTGTAAAAAAGTCCAGGGGTAGTTCTAGACAATAAGAGAAGATTTGAAAAATACAATCAATTCATTCATGACATTGAATTGAACTGAATTGGATTGGACTTTTGCATAGGATAGGTAGGATATGTGTGATTTGAATTTGGTTGAGATTCCCGAGTTATGGACTTGGACTGGTCACTCTCTGAAAGGAATCCTGGCCTTTCGGCTTTCATCATTCACGCCCACCGACCGGCCAAACATGACACACACGCCCACCCTCCACCCAAAATATTTTGTCCCGCAGCATCACGTGTTAGAGTCCAGAGCAAGTACCAGGCGCAAGTAAGATACAAGGGCAAGCTCGAGGCAAGGTACAAACATAGCCTTACAGTGTGTCGAGAGTGATTATCCGGGCTGTATTGGGGGTCTATCTGACACTATGACCCCCTATGATCTCTAATGACCCCCTAAATTTGGAATCACTACCTAGTAAATACCTATCTAATGGATGGCTGCGCAATTCCCCAATCCCTAAAATCCCTAAAATCCCTTTGCGTATTCCGTATTACGTATTACCAGGATAAACATCTCAAATTAACAATCGCAATATAAACCTGCAGCCCTTCAATCCGAAACTTATCATCTACCAGTACATATACTTCTCCAACATACATCCAATTTCATGCTTCGAATTTATATTCTCCATTTGAAAGACAAAGATCGATTCATTCATTTTATACCCATAATAAATTCATTTATTCCTCTTCAAACAACAAAACAATGGCTTGGGGATCTTCTTCAAAAGCCCCTCCACCACCCCGCTCTGCTTTAAGGTATGTCCAGCTGTTACCAGATATTTCTTTGTCTTGTACGAACTTTGGAACTTTGTCGCATACACAAGTAATTCTTGTCAAACCTACTCTTCTCTATCCTATACCTCCTTGAACAATCAAATCAAATCATGTAGAACGTCAACGCCCCCCCGCCCCCCCCGCTCCCCACCCCCCCCCCCCCCCCCCCCCCCAAACGATAGCTAACCATGCTCCCAACCAATAGCAAGCTTCTTCCTCTCCTCATCTTCCTCATCGTCGTCGGCGCATTTGCATTCGTCGGCTACCAAGTCTACCTCGTCACGCAACAAGTCTCAAAATCCGCCTCGGACAAAATGGCATCCAAGAATGTTTCCTTCACCAAAGACGGCGTCAAAGTCGGAGTGAAAGAGTTGAAAAATGAAAGTTATGTGGATAAAACCCAAGGTTTCTTGGTCAAGGCTTGGAATTTAAGTACATGGCCTGCGTATCAATCGAGATTGGCCTGGAATAGTCCTAAGGATGATGGAAACGATGGGAAAGTAGAATCTAGGAAACCGTAAGTTTGGTCTTTATCGTTGGATGCACCGAAGAGAAAGGGGGAAGAGAGGGTGGAATAATTGTGGAATTTATGCTTCCAGATCTCTTGCTGCTCCCGTCCTCCTTTTGAACAACATACTCTCAGAAAATAACTAATTTCCCATTTCCCCTTCAGATATTCTCGCTCCTCATCCAGCAGATAAATCAAGCTCTCTTGGGCGCAAATCTCCTAATACTCCAAATCTATTTTCACGTTCTGTACTACCGTACTCGTTTTCACATTTCTCATCACCAGATTCTCTCTGTCCCAAATCAGAGAATATCCTCTAATGTGAGGACAATACAGCCAATAGTCTTTTCAGCTGCGCAAAGCATGAAATTTTGAGAAAGGGTCGATGGATGGGACACTCATCGATACTTTTATTTTACAGATCTACAGTACTCACTCATCTTCCAACTCCGGTTGCCAGGCTGGATTGAAAGGGGAGAGGTCATTTGAAGTTCCAGACCTCGTGACTTGTAATATAATTGCGCACACGTTGGATTTACGGAACAGAGGACGTTGATCGGATATTTTCATTTTCATTGGGATTTTCATATACCCATCTGGTATTCTATTTCATCTAGCTCTCTCCATCGGTTCACGAATATTGGTTTTACGACGACATGCGTACGAGTATTTCCTAAGTTATGTCATCTCAAATTCAATTTCATGAACCCTCTTCATAAAAGGGGTATGATACTAGATATATAGCAAAGCTATACAAATCCCATACTCGTACTCGTTCCCAAATCAGAAATCTATCTCCTCCTTGTACCTACAAAACTTACACCTACAAAACCCAAACCTACCCATACCTATCCCACTACAATTACCACTGAAAAATAGACAATTCACCATTTTCAAACCCCCACTTCTTCCCTCTCCCTCTCTCCCTCATAGCTTTCCTAATCTCATCAGCTTTCCTAATCTCATCAGCTTTCCTAATCTAACCTCATCAGTAAACTCTATTTATACTCAGAATTCATGTCATGAAGTCTATATGTCATGAACTCTCTATCATTATGAAATAGGACGATACAGTATATCTCCCACATCTCCCACACCCCCTCCCAATTCTAATCACACTACAGAATGAAACCTAATAGCTTAATTTTACTTTAATTTACTCGCCATTATTCTATTCACAATACACTACTTATAATGTTGAATTTTGAACACTTAAAATACTCTGTCTATTTCTCTCGAGTGTCTACATAATGAATGTATATGTATAGTAGACGACTCTCCTGTCCCCTCTCCCTTCGCTAATCCATAAACTCCATAAACACCTAACATCAATACCCATACCCACACCATCCCGAGTTTTTGCTTGCTGGTTAACTGACTGTCTTATAATAAAGAGTTATAGACAGAGATATACAAGATGTACAAAAGTAAACAACAGTATACGCCTTTCCTGAGGACTTTACCTCTGCTCTCCTTTCCTGTCCGTTCCTTTCCTTTCCATGCCGTGACCAAAATCCAAATCAAATCAAATCCATACGCTCCATTCACTCCTTCCCTTCATTGCATTTCGATCCATCCTTTCCATTCCCATCCCCACCCCGGCCCAGCACCATTACAAAACACAGTACACAGCACCAGAAAGACCCGCCTCTATTCAAACCCCCATCAAACCGTCGTCTCCCACCATCCCAACCCCTCCAACCACGCATATTTCTTCCCCTGCTCATTACTAATTTTCCAACCCATCTCTCCCGTTTTCTGCATCCCATTTGCATTTCCATTTCCTACCCCATTCCCATTCATGCCCGGCCCATATTTAGTCTGTTGATATTGAAACATGACATTACTATTCAACCCATTTCCATTCATAGCTCCGATCCCATTTAAACCCCCGACATTCCCACTGCTAGTCTCCAACACACTCCTCCCCATATGTTGTTGTCGTTGTTGCTGTTCCTCCCTCACCTTCTCCATCGCAGCTTTTCGTTCTCGTTCCCACATTTCCCTCTTCATAGCTTCTCGTTGTTGGAAATTGAGTGCCGAAATGGAAGGGGGTAGTGTGGGCATAATTGACGGTTTGCCTGAAGGTCTAACAGAGCTTGTCGCGTTCGGCGGTGCATTGCCCATATTGTCGCGGCGGACGATCATAGATGGGAGACGGAGTTGGAGCTTTTGTGGGTAAGTGTTAATTTTGTTTGTTTGTGAGATGGTAGATGAGAGGGCAGAAGGAAAGGAATAACTTACGGTACTGACAACCCTTGCCTGATTTAAGCCCATGACTTCCGAAATGAACTTGAGCCGTCCTTTAATCCACAGCCTCTGCGAATCCGTCGTGAAATCACTACAACTGACTGATAACAGCGGCCAAATTGCATAAACCCCTCCTAACGCCTTAACGCCCGTAGCATCATTACCACTCATAGGATCTCCCGGTTTCAATCTTCCCTCGGAATTTAAATGCCACCCAAACATAAAGGGAATAGAAGCGATGATATCACAAATCATTTCCTGACCCATCCTCGACATTTGTGCGTATTCTGGCGTGGTTCGGTAGTCGACAGGATAGCATGTCCATGCTGCACAACGGATAACGATTGCAGCGATGAATATCCTTGAAACACGGGAGAAATTCCATGCGGAGCAGGCGAATACATCGGGGTAAAGGTCAACTCGTCCAGGACACACATCGGCTTTTGTTATATCACCCCCGGGAACATTATCCACCCATGCTACCGTTTGCTTTGTTTGTGTTTCTTCCCATCTTTGATACTCTTGCTCTAGTTCTAGAGCACGATGCATAATCTCAGTAACCAATTCGGTAGTTTCCGGTGACCGGGGATGTGACATCAGTATTCTGTTCAGATCGCTACGCAGTTCGGCTACTTGTAGGTTTAATCTGTTGACAAAGGCTGCCCCTTCATCTTTCGGAGAATCAGCGCACCACCAGTCGGCGCCTAGCATGGGAGTCTTGGATGAAGATAGACAGTTGACAAGCTGAGTATGTATTAGTATCGAGCCCACTAAAAAGAGGGGCAACTAGCATACCATTTGTCCTCGAACACTTTGGAATAAAGCAACACCGACTTTCGTCCTTAGCTGTTTCTTCCCTCTCATCTTCACTATTTGCACGGCTCCATCGATATGTGATCCCCAAGCCGTGATACTTGCTTTCTCTTGAGTAATGGTTTCGAAGAATCCCAGTAATAGAATCGAAGCTAACGTCTGATCGGCTTTTTGTTGTACTGGATTTTGTAGCGCCAAGTTAACGACCTTCAAGGCCTTCGCGTAATTCTCAATAGCTAAATGCATCAAATTGCTTCCTCTTGCATTTGGTCTATTTGCTAAAGAAGCCATAGCCACAGCTTGAAAAGAAAGTGATAGCGCCGAGTCAGAAGCTTCCGTCTTGATCAATGGTAGTACCCAGTCAAACGAGCCTCGTATTTGTCCGCTCTGTGGTATAATGACGAAATTTGACATGAAATAGCATGGTGCTTGTTGCTCGATAGGACTGGTGAAGGCCACTGGTAGTCCTAGGGCATCAGAGGATGAAGAATCATGGCCGTCGGATTCAATCTTGGCCAGATCCAATCCAGTCGATGAGAACGTGAGTTCAGCATCGTTGGAACTTGAGTTAGAGACAATTGAAAACTTGCGATTTGCATCACTTCTATTCACTGATCCGATCTGGGTGTTGTTGTTGCTGCCCCTCTTGTTCTTTAATGATCGTTGTGCTCGTCTTTCTGTGGCTTTTGTCTCATTACGGAAGACAAGATCGAAGTCATCCTTATATCCTGGACACTGTCGTCTTGATTTTTGACACTGGTTGCAAGTAGGTTTGGTTTCATCACACTATGAGGATGATATTAGCAACCCACAAGTACTCCTCAATAGACAACGTAAAGACCACACCTTTATCCTTCGAGTTCTGCACATCTGGCAGCCCCGTGAAGGTTTGCCACAGTATACCATCTTGATATACCTTGACTTTTTTGTTTATTCTTGGACAAGATGAACCCTTGATAGGACAATAGGTTTAACTGAATACTTTGTTTCCCTCCAGCTCACAATTGATCAAATCAATTTCTCAATCCAGGTTCCGAAAAGAGGAAATTCAAAGAAAGGAACAAGATGATGTGAATATACCGTAAACAATATATGGGACGAGGCTCTAAAACTCATACGATTCTTGACAAATGGCTGTGCTTTAAATCTGAAACTCATACATGAAGTTACAACTCGGCAACAGCTCCGATGAGACAAGCTAGAACAAGCTTTATTCCTCCGATCACACCTCGGTCACAAGTTTGAGTAGCTGATGGAGAATCAAAGTGCGGGCTAGGAATAAGCATGTAAAAGACAAGGTATAATCAAAATGAGTCGACGGTAGAAATGTAGGTACTGGTAGCAGTGGAGATACCGTGTTGGAATATATGATTTAGATAAAGAAAGAAACACGATGGATTGACATCTGTCAGTCTAGGATGTTTAAATGCTTAATAAGTTCAAGGCTTTGAAGTCGTTGGAAGAGAGCCACTGGCGGAATTGGGATTGGAAATTGTAAAGCATCCTCGTTACCTACCTAGATGGTTACTAGTTAGTGGGTTTTAGCAAAGGTACCAAGTAGCAAGTAGCCAGTAGCCGGTAGCCAGTAGCCAGTAGCATTTAAAACCAAACTATCTAGATTTACTGGTAGATTGTTTCGAAGATCGAAGGATGATGATCAAGTAAAACTGGGGAGAGGGAAAAAAGCATTTCGAGGGAAGCAGGCAAGTAGGCAAGTAGGCAAGCAAGCAAGCAAGCAAGCATACAAACAAGCACCACCACTTTTTTTTCTTCCTCAGCAGTTGAATCAATCGTGCAGCTGGTCGCCGATGTCAAGGGATATTTGATGCAAACTCTATCTATCCCTTAGTCAAGGGTCCCCCCTGAACGACAAACCTCTGAGCGATTCAAACCACCCCTAACCCCTCTTTTGGGGAGACTTCTTTTTATGTTTTGAATGGCAGGGTTTTATACTGTAGAGTACTTGAGTAAGTAGGATGATTACCAACTGAGATAGAGGACTGATAAAAACTCTCAGCTGAATGTAAAATGTAAATCAAAATGTAAATCAAAGTTAAATCGAATCTATAAAAAAAGATAAATAGATCTCAACGATCTAAAAACGTATTTACCAATGATAAGTAATCATTC